CCTTCCAAAGGGATCTTCCCCTATTCAATATCCAGCCAATGGTTCACAATTTTCTTTAAAAGTCTTTGTATTCTCAGAGTATCTACAATAATGATAATCTATCAGTCTAAATAATCCAGAATTATTTTGGGTTTTATTCTACTTTCCCTTTCTTTATAAAAAAAAATGACAGGAATTTTATCATTTGGTAATCGCAAAGAACTAGATTGATTCTTCATAGAGCACAGCCCTTTTTGCAGTAAATAACTACAGTAGATTTTCACCATGGGAGAGGAATTACAAAACATGAATTATAAATTAAAATGTTCTTCCTTGACAGACTTATTTTCAGCAAACTTAAAGATGGAGAAGGGATGAAGATAGGAGAGCCACAAAAAACTTTTAGGCATATTTTGGGTTTTTGGGGGCATCTTTAAGAAACTTAAACTTCTCTTCTACCTTTTTTTTTCTTGCTTTGTTTTGACCAAGCAATAGGAGTTAAGTGACTTACCCAGGGTCACACAGCTAGTAAATGTCAAGTGTATGAGGCTGGATTTGAATTTAGGTCCTCTCCTAAATCCAGGGCTGGTGCTCTATCCACTGAGCCACCTAGTTGCCCCCCTTCTATCTTTCTTGAAGTCTGAACTCCAAGCTGTTTTCTGCATTTAGTAAATTTCCATTCAAGTTCATTTAATTAAACAAATCTTTATCAGGGGCCTACACTGGAAGATATTCAAAGTTTAGATAAGATATGGTCGTTGGAACTCATGGAGTCTAGAGTGTAACAGTGGAATATCACACACACATACACAGACACACAAACACACACACACACACACACACAATCTAAGATAATGCACAAACACATTTGAGACATACAAAAGAACAGCCATGAGATGTCCAAGTTGAAAAAGTTAGCAATGGAGGAGAAGGTCCAGAAAACTTCAAGGAGGAACAAGTACTTGAGTTAGGCTTTAAAGGATGAGTAGAAATTCAATGGCAGAAGCAGCTAGATGGCTCAGTGGACACAGCTTTGGACCTGGAGTCAAGAAGCTCTGAGTTCAAATGTGAACTCAGACACTTACTAGCTGTGTGACTCTGGGCAAGTCACTTAACTTCTGAGAAGGAAATGGGAAACCATTCCAGTATCTCTGCCCCCAAAAAAACCGTGGACAGTATTGGCCTGTTATGGCCCATGGGGTCATGAAGAGACAAGATAGAACAACAACAACAAGGAATTCAACAGCCTCTCCACCATGGCCTTTTCCTCAGCTCTGCCCCTGGGTCCTCTTCAGTTCTTTTCAGGGTTCACCCCAAACACTACTTTCTACATTAGGCTTTTTATGATCTCTGCCATTGTTAGTGACCTTCCCCACCTCCAGATTACTTTAAAAAAATTCCTTTTTTTAATTAAGAATTTCACAAACACCAGCAAATATGAGCATTTCCATATAGAAAGAAAATAAAGATTGTACATGAACCATGAATCTGCTTATTTTTTTAGAGCATATATTAAATTTAACACAGTAGTACTAACACTGTCTAGTTTGTCTGTGTCCCTTTCTAAACTTCCTTCTGTTTTCTTCTGGGAATTTTAAAAATGTTCAATTGATAATCTTTTCATTCTTTTTTGCATTACTCCCCCTCCTCCTCCCCCCAATCCACTACATTCTCCTACAAAGAATCAAAGCCCAACCTTACTACAGGTATGGACAAACAAAACAAACTGACAAATTGGTTATGTCTCACTCCATACCTACAGCCCATCACCTCTCTTCCAAGGTGGTGGGAGTCATGCTTCACATGAGTCTTCTGGAATCATAACTGGTCACTGTTTTTATCAGAATTCTTTAGAATTTCAAAGTTGTTTTTCTTTACAATACTGTAGTTCTTGTATAAACTGTTCTCTTGGTTCTGCTCACTTTATTCTATATCACTTCAGATAAGTCTTCAGAGATTTATCTGAATCCATCCTTTTTATCATTGCTTATGGGGCAATAATATCCCATTATGAATACGTGATAATTTGTTGATAATTCCCCACTTGACAGATTGTGCAAACTTTGCTTCCAGTTTTTTGCAACAATAAAAAGGTGCTGCTATAAATACTTTTGTTTATATGGGTTCTTTCCTCCTAATTTGTGACATCTTTAGGGACATATGCCTAGTAGAAATATTAGTAGGTCAAAAGGAATGTCTCACTTGATGACTTTTTGGGTTAAGTTCCAAACTGTTTTTCAGAATGATTGAATCCACTCACTTCCCAAAATGGCTGAATCCAACAGGGCATTAATGTGCCTGTCCTCCCACAATCCTTTACAGAACTGTCATTTTCCTTTTTTTGTCAAGTCAACAAGCATTATTAAGCATTTAATGCCAGACACTATGATAAATGTTGGAGATATAAAGACAGGTTAAAAAAAATTCATTTTTGAAAATCTGATGGGTGTGAGGTAGGAACTGGTTTGTTTTAATTTGTATTTTTTAAAAATTATCAGTGACTTTGGAGCATTTTTTTAATAAGGCTGTTACCTTGCATTTCTTTCTTTTTATGAGGAATGCTTGTTCATATCCTTTTACTATTTATATAATGGGGAATGGCTCTTATTCTTATATCTTTAACTCCTATATATCTTATGTATCAGTCCAATATCAGAGAAATTTTCTGCAAATATTTCTCCGAGCTAAACAATTCCCTTTTAATTCCAATTGCACTTTGCTGTATAAAATTTTTAAAAATTTTATGTAACCAAAATTGTCCATTTTATCTCCTGTTATCCTCTCCACCCGTTGCTTGGTTAAGAACACTTTCCTTATCCATAACTGTGAAAGGTACCTCCATCCCAGCTCCTCTATTTTAGCTTATCATTTGACATTTTATGTTTATACATTTGGAGCTTATTTAGTTGTATGGTTTGGGGTATTGGTCTAAACCTTATTTCTGCCAAGCTGGTTTTCATTTTTCCCAAAGTTTGCTGTGAATGGTGAGACAATGCCCTAGGAGCTCGATCCACTCTGGTTTACTGAATACTACGCAACTACATTCGATTGCTTCTAGGTCTTGTGTATCTTGTGTTTCACTGATCAACCTTTGTATTTTTTAATCAATACCAATTAATTTTGATGACTATAGCTTCGTCATATAGTTCGAGATCTAGTATTGCTAGACCCACCCTGTTTTCCATTTTTTGATTTCTCTTGAGATTCTTGACCCTTCTTTCCTACAGATAAATTCTGTTTATATTTAGTCTAGTTCACTAAAGCAATTCACTGGTGGTGTAGTACAGCAATGAATAAGCAAATCTATTTTTAGATACTGACATTTTTATGCTATTGACATGGCTCAGCTATGCACAATCAATATCCCTCCAATTATTTGGGTCTGTCTTTATTTTTGTAGAGTATATTGTAGTTGCATTCATATAATTCCTGTGTAGACATACTCAAAGTTTCACATATCCTAGTTATTTAGAATGGAATTTCCCTTTTTTTTTCTTTCTACTGAGTTTTATTGGTAATATAAAGTCTGATGGTTTATGTGGATTTATCTTATATCTTACCACTTTACTGAAGTTGTTTCGTTATTGATATGAAATCTCTACAGTTCTCTAAGTATCATATTATTTGCAAAAGTTGTTTATTCTTGGCCAACGTTTAGTCCCTTAATTTATTTTTCTCATTTTTTGTTGTAAGGAGCATTTCTACTAATATATCAAAAAAAGTAGGGACAATGGCATTCTAGTCTTACCCCTGATGTTATTAGAAAGACCTCTAGAATTACTCCATTACATATAATTCTAGTTCTTAGAATTTACAAAGACGTTGTTTACCATATTAAGAAAAAGTCCATTATTCTCATTCAGTAACTGCCAGAGAGCTATTATATCTATATCTTTGAAAATTCTACTGAGATCCTTAACATTTAAAAACAATTTCAGTTATATTTGTTGAGGTCTAAAGGGGGTATATTGAGATCTTAACCTATTATAATTTTGCTGTTTATTTCCTATAATTCAATTAACTTTTCCACTAAGTAGTTACATGCTTTACCATTCAGTTTCCATATATTAAGTATTGATATTATTTATCTATGGAGGCTTTAATAATGTAATTTTATTGCTTGTCTTTTAACCATACTCTGTATCTTCTCTTACCGTACTGGAGATTATGACTGCCAGTCCTGCTTTTCTAAACTTCCTTGAGGCAAAATTAATTGTTTCAACTCAATTTTAATTCTGTGAATTTTTATGTTTTAGGTATGTTTCTTATAAACAACACTGTTGTATTCTGTTTTCTAATCCATTCTGCTACTTTCCCTCTAGTCTATGGATGAAAATACCATTCACGTTCACGTTATGACTGATAATTGTGCTTTCTCTTTATCATATTCTCTCATATTTTTTCCTCAATTTAATGCCTCCAGTTCACCCTACTTTTTTTAAAAGAAGTTGGTAGAAGTAAAGGAATAGGGTCAAGATCAATAGTTTATAATTGAAGTCCTTCCCTCTTTAATTCCCTGGTTTCCTTTCAATCTCAGCTAAAGTCCCGCCTTTTGCAAGAAGCCTTTCCTAGTACAATCTTGTTTGCACTTTGTCTCCCCATTTAGACTCGAGCTCCTTGTGAGGAGGGACTGTTTTCGATGTTCTTTGTATCCCCAGGGCTTAGTACACTGCCTAGCACATACTAGGAGCTTAATGAAGGCTTGCTGGCTGAATATCTGATTAGCTCGATAGCTTTGGTCATGCTACTTTTTTGGCATCTTAATCTTCTCATCTGTAAACCTGGTAATAATGTCATGCTACCATTAATACATTTAAAATATGTATAAGCCACCATTAATACACTTAAAATATGTATAAGCCATAAAAAGACAGATGAAAATGCATATAAAATATTACTTATGCTGTTATTAAATATACTCAATTAATTTGCACAGAAGCTTAAACTCTGTATATTATAAATATTTTTGGTTAAGCTTATTCCATCAAAAACTGGATACAGCACCATCCACCCTGACTTACGGAGTGCTATGTGGGTGGCATCCTCTAAAGGATATCCTCTTTTTGCAGAATTGATGACACAAAATCCTACAGAGGACACTGCCTGCTCCCTGTAGACAAGAAAAAACAAAAACTGAGTCACAAATATTATACTTCAAAATTCAGCACCATCTTTAAAATTTGACTCAGCCACCCGCGCAACATGGGGAAAAATGATGTACTGATAAAATTAACTTGCACTGTCTGTTTTATACATTTACTGAACACTAAGTTAAAATTCTAATAGTAAAGCAAAGGTTTTATGTCATTGCCCAACATTTTCCTATTTATGTTGAACTTTTCAAATTCCCTACCTCTCAAATTTTTTAGAAGAGAATTCAACCACTATAGTAGAATCCTTTTGAATTATCTAATTGCTTTGGCATTTGCCTCTTAGCCAACATTTAGTCCCTCAATTTATTTTTCTCATTTTTTGATAATACATCACTGAGCTGCATATACATAAAAGTGGAACCTCTAAGAGAGAAAGCTCTATATCTAGAAACACAGACTTACGTTGCCAACTGCAGTACATTTCTGTAGCAGCTATACAGGGAGCTTTCAGCTGCTGTGCGATAGCGGCTCTTGTATTTAGGTCCCACTGTGTGAATGATGAAACGGGCAGCCAGATTGAATCCTTTTGTAAGCTTTGCTTCCCCTGTTCGGCAACCTAATTGACCAAGGCAGTATAAACAAAGCAAAAAAGCATTACCAAGCAGAAGGGAAATTAAGTCCTTGGCTATGATGTCTCTTCATCACCAAAATCTAAAATACCAATGGGTCTCTAGTCATGGCTGAGATATAAGGCTGGGCTTAAATGTTTGGCAGTGGCAAAACGACCACTCCTTCCCTTCTACAGTCACTAAAAGTCTGGAGAAACTACAGCAATTACAATAGCTAGTAAGCATACTGTGATTCTGGTTCTCAGAATTCTGACTACTATTCCTAACCCCATTTCCCCCATTCTCTACAGGGCATTTATTGCTGTCAATGTTGTTTTCCTAGTTTTGCTTACTTCACTGCATCAGTTCATACAGGAGCTCCTAAGTTTCTCTGAATTGTTCATATTGATCATTTGTTTTAGAGCAATAACATCCACTGCTTCAATGTGTTGAACTGTTTCACAATCAATAAGAACTTGCTGCTTTGCTTCCAATGCTTTGCTATGCCCCCCACGTCCCATCAAAAAGTGTTGCTTTAAGTATCTCAATATGTATATGACACCTGTCCATATCTTTGATCTCCCAGGGTATATGCCCAGTTGTGGTTTTCATTGGGTCATAGAATACGTACAGTTAACGACTTTTCTAGTAGAATTTAAAATTATTTTTCAGAATACTTGGACTAATTCACAGCTGTACCCACAGTACATGAGAATTGACTGTCTTCTCATGGCTCCTCCTGACCATTTTTTGCCTTTTGTCACCTTTACCAGCTTGCTACATGAAGCAAAAGCTCAGAGTTTTTCTTTTTATTTAATTAAGAGACCGAGAACTCACTCAATGGAGGGTGGTTCTCCATTCACCACAGGACTTCTCTTACCTCGGTGTCTCTGCCCAGGCCCTCCTCTAAGTCTCTAAGGCTCTTTCTCATCCTAGGCTTGAGTGTCACCTCCAACACAAGGTTCGTTCTCCACCCACCTGCCCCCACCAACTATCAGACTTCTCTTCTCGTCACTTCCTTTCTTCAGAAATTACTTGTATTTTTCTGAGTACAAGTTGTTCCCCCAGTAGAATGTAAGGACCTAGAGGACAGAGACCATGACATTCTCATCTTTGCAGTCCCAGTCAAGCATTGTACCTTGCACACAGCAAGCATTTAAGAAAGTCTCATTGAAATGAGTGCAATATTATACTATTAACTTACATTGAGCTTGCAGACCTTAGATTTTTTTTCAAAGAAGCTGCTATGTGGCCCTGTTCCCTGATAATGAACTTGTAAAGTTGATTCAGTGAATCCAAGGGTAACACACTTTACATTTATTTCCATGAAAATACATCTCATAATATCTGAACCAATGCACTAGTTTGTTGAAAATCTTTTTGAATCTTAATATCATCATCTAGTTTATTAGCTATTTCTCCCAGTCTGATGCCAACTGAAAAGTTAATAAACATGTCTTAGGGTCACCTTTTTAGAGGTCATTTAGTTCAACACCTTCATTTTATGACTGAATAATGTTCTCTAACAATCGAGAAAGCCGAAAAAAACATTGATTTACCTTTGAGCTTCTGGAGTTCTTCTTTCAAGTCAGGCCCTGCAAGCATAAAGATGCTTTCTGACACTGGATTCTTATCAGTGAGACTTTCATTGCTGGTATTGACTATAGCTGTACAGTTCAGTAAAGCTACATCTCCTTTCCTAAGGAAACAGAAGACATTCAAAGCAGTTTACAAATTAGCCTGGAAAGCTGAGTAAGTGCTGCTTTTCATCTTTCCTTATAAACAGTGAGTTTCTTATTCCATCAAATTTTCCTTCTCAAACTTCAGTACTTGTTAAAAGAAATAATCATATAAAACGGTTTATAAGGGGCAGTTAGGTGGCACAGTGGATAGAGCACCAGTCCTGGACCCAGGAGGACCTGAGTTCAACTCCGGCCTCAGAAACTCACTAGCTGTGTGACCCTAGGCAAATCACTTAAACCAGGACTGCCTCCAAAAAATAAAATAAAATGGTTTACAACACATGTACAATCATGTTCTCCCTTAATTTGTTTGTTGTCTTTTGTGTATTTGAATATTTGGACTTTATGAAGGAAGATAATGTAAAATGTATTAACTGGTCAAGGGAGAAACATACTTTATCTTCTTCGGATCATACCTTGGTTATTTTAAAAGACAGAGTAAAGAATAACTATTTTGGAAAACTATGTAGAAATGACAAAATTTAATTGTTGAAACATATATAAACTCTTTTTTTTGCTTCTGAAATATCTATTTTTCTTGCAATATGTATCTGTAGATATACCTATATAATTTATTATTTATCTATCTATTTTACCTTTCTATTCAGAGTTGAATCTTGTTCATTTAAGCTGGGTTTAATATCAAAGAATTATGAGAATTGCTACTCCTGATCCCTTGTATTAATTAAACTTACCAAAGAATCACTTTTCCACTGAGCTCTTTACTGAAGGGAAAAGGTGATCTAATGACTTCGTCCTGGAATTTTTCAGTCAGAGTTTCTGAGGAATCTACTCCATCTGCTTCATACCATTCAAACCAGCTGGGCAGAGTATCAATATCCACAAACTGGGAAGGAGCACCCAAAGGATCCATGGTATGAAACTTGGCTCTAACTTCTTAGCAATTTAGTTTTTAATGGAACTCCTATAAGCTTGAAAGACACACACACACAAAAACTTTCAGAAAGTACTTTAGATAGAGAAAGAATACTGCAGTGTAAAATATCTCAATAGCAAGTTAGTTTTAATTATTTAAATATCATATAAATGAAAAATTAAAAAAAAAACAATAAAAGTATGGCCACCTCCAATCAATAACAACAGAAATAAAATGTGCTTTCATTTTCATAGCTTTTCATTGGTACTTAAAAATCACAATATAATCCCAAAGAAAAGATATGTGCTATAAATATGATCTTTTTTTCTGGGCTCTTTACTCCTGATTCCCTTTCCTTTTTCTCTTTCTTCTATCTTAGATTGGACACATCATCTCCTGGGAAACTAAATTTGGGCTGGCAAATTCTAGCTCTAGCTAGTGGCCTAAACTTCTTGAGAAACTGAGGGAGAAAGTTGAGTAGGAAAACAAAAAATGCCCCTTAATTATCAGAGTGAATTTCTCCCTAGTGCCCTCCTTCCCAAACTAACCTGTATTTAACTTTGTTTTTATTTGCTTGATATTTATGCTGCTTACACACACACACACACACACACACACACACACACGCCTCTCTCATTAGATTGTGAGCTTCTTGAGGGCAGGAAATGTCTTCTGCTTTTTTTTTTTCTTTTTGGTATCCTCATCATGTAACATACTGCCTGGCAGGCACAAAGTAGGTGCTTAATAAATATTTATTAACTGAGTGAAACATTGAAACCTTTACTAAAAGGGCAGAGGTTTGTAAAGTAAGGTTATCTATTGTTACAATATTGACAAAATAAACTTAGAAAATGCTAGCTATAGTACTAAGAAAAAAAATAAGGAAGAAGCATAGGTAAAGAAGCAGCAAAATTACCCCTATTTGTGGATTTTTGTGACACTTTTCTCTTTGCCCTCTCCTACCTGTCTGACTGTGCTTTGTTAATCTACTTTGCTGGATCATCATGCTTATCACATCCACAAAATATTCTTTATAGAAATAAACTGAAACTCAAACATTACCCAAGGAATATTAATTGTGCATAGCTGGGCCACATAAATATCATAAAAATGAAAACAGTACCTAAATCAATTTACTTACTTGGTACCATACTAAATTACCAAAACATTACTTTAAAAAACTAGACAAAAATAAGATTCATCTAGAGGAACAAAAGGTCTAGAATTTTAAGAAAAAAGCAGGAAGCAAGAAGACCTATCAGTACTAGATCTAAAACTATATGACTAAGCCCTAATCATCAAAACTAATTTGTATTAGTTAAAAAATATAACACAGTTCAATCCAATTAGGTATAGATGACTCAGAAGCAATTTAAAATAGTAGCAGAATGTTTAAGTCTAAAGAATCAAATGACTGAGGTAACAACTCACTATTTCACAAATAATTCTAGGAAAAATGGAAAACAGCCTTGGAGAAATCAGATTTACAATAGAAACCTTAGGTCAACATCTTGATCCATACATCATAAGAAACTCCAAATGAAAATAAAATGTCATATCATAAACAAAATGAGGAGCAGGGGAGGAGATAGTTATAAGGAGAGGGAAAAGACTCTTGCTGAAACAAGTAACAGAGAGGATTATGGGAAATAAAAAACACAATTTTGAATACGTAAAACTGAAAACAGCTAAATGTAGAAGGAAAACTCCTGACTAAAGAAAAAAAAAATCTTTGCAGCAAGTTTTTCTGACACAAGTCTGATTTTCAAGATACATACGGGAATTGATCCAAATACAGAAAACAAGAGCCATTCTCCAATAAACAAATGATCAACGTATATGAACATATAAAAAAGAAAGCTATGAGCAATCATTAATAATAAAAAGAGGTGTTACTTTACAACATCAGATTGCTGAAGAACAAAGGAAAATGATAATTGTTGGAGGACACTTAGGAGGATAGAACACCAATACACTTTTGGTGGCCCTGTGAACAGGTCCAACCATTCTGGAAAGCAATTTGGAACTGTGTCTCCAAAGTCATTAAACTGTGCACACCTTGTGACCCATCAAGTACAAAAATATTCATCAGACTACTTTTTTATTGTAGTAAAGAACTAGAAATCAAAGGGCTACCCATAAATTAAAGAACAGCTGAACAAATTATTTTATACACATCTAATAGAATATTATTCTACCATAAAAAATGATGAAAGGGGTAAATTCAGAGAAGCCTGAGAGGACCTGAATGGGGAGATGGGGGTGGCAGGGAGAAAAGTATCAAGATGACCATGAAGAAGGGTGTAGTGATAGTGATGCTCCCAAAAAAAGGAAGAAAAGAGGATCAGCGAAGCACTGAAAGAAAATACACTGAAGTCTGGGGAAGTTCAGAAGGTACCATACCAAGGAGTAAGAGAGTTTTGAGCAAGCCATGCTGAATGGAATATATGGGGTTTTTTTGTACCCCTCCCGCACTTAGAAAAAAAGCCTTATGTAATAAGATTTAGGGTTTTATTTACAACCTTTTTTCTGCCATTTCCGTATACAAAAATGTTCATGTGTATTGGCGTTTGTCGAGTTTAGAATAAAAAAATTAAATTAAAAAAGAAAGCACTTGGGTAAAGAACAATGGAGGTAGAAACTAAAGTACAACTGTCATTAGAAGATACTACAGATTACGGGGGGGATAGGAAGAATGACTATATGAGGAGTTAAGGTAATAGAGAACTAGGAACAGAGGCATCAAAAGATAGTGGTGATGGTGAATTCACCTATTCAGCTATTTACTGGAGCCCTCTCTGTAAATAACAGATTGGCTGATACTATTAGACTTACATCCTTAATGGTCTAAAATATGATTTACAGATAAGCAGCTGAGGCCCAGGGAGATAAATTGACTTGCTTGTCTAAAGTCACACAGGTAGTAAATATCAAAAGCACTTAAGTCTTAGAGAGCTACCTGAGAGTACTAGTTTTGCTGTTCGTAGTCTGGAAGGAGTTACCACACCACCGAATCTTGACATTGATACATCTGCACCGGTACAGCTCAATTTTCTTCAACATTTAATAAGCACTTATGTACAAGCCACAGTGCTAGTTGCTGTAGAGTACAAAGATTAAAATAGAAAAATAAGCGTCTTTAACAAGTCTGCAAGTTAATAGAGGAAATAAATGTACACAGATACAAAGAAGAATACGATAAGCACAAAAAGGAGATTAACCTTATAAAAGCCTTAAAAAAAGCTAGGGGAGGTAGCCATTGCCTAGATTACTGAAATAGCCTTCTAATTGGTTTCCCTGCCTCAATTCCCTCCTCAACAGAGCTGACAAAATAATTTCCCTAAAGTATATATCCAACCACATCGCTTTTTTCCTCCCTCTCCACCTCCTGTACTTGATAAACTTCTGTTCGAAATTTAAAGCTCTTCAAACCTGGTCTTCCTAAAAATGAGAAAATAGTTATAAAGTACTCTGCAAACCTTAGAATGCCATATAAATATTAGCTATTGTTATTACTCTTATGATTACTTTACTCCACTCCATTCACTCTGTGATCCGACTACTGAATTGCAAGACATCCAGTCTCTGTGGATTTGTATTGGCTGCCTGGAATGCTCCTTCCTCTTCACCTTCACCATTTTTGAGTGCCTGATTTCCTTTAGAACTCAGCTTAAATGACTGTTTCTACAGAAAGGTTTCCATAACTTGCCCAGATGTCAGAGACTCTCTATCTCCTCTGCATATATCTGGTATATATCACTTTCTTTATTTGTTTTCTTCCCCTTTAGAATATAAGTTCCATGACGGCAGGGACTGCAAAGCCTTGGTAGCACACAGTACTTAATACATTCTTGTTGACTGAATGACTGGATTTGGGGTCAAATGACTGCATTCAACTTCTAACTCTGACCCTTATGTGACTTTAATCATACTGCTCAGCTTCTTTGGGCATCAGTTAGAATTAAAGAGTTTTAGAGTACATGATCTCTAACATCTCTTCCAGCTCTAATTCCGCAATTCTAGGGCAAATGGTGGAGAGAGGGGTCACTGAAAGCCTGCCAAAGAAGGGAGCACTTGATAGAGCATAGAGCTGGAACATGCAGGAAGACAAGGATTTCAACACCTGGAGACCAGTGGGTTTAGGAATGCACAGGAGAAGGAATGTGCAAAGATGGCAAAGAACAGATAGGAATGTGCAAAGATGGGAAAGGATAGATATATAATCCGGTTTAGCTGGAATGCAGTGTGCCCACAAAGCATAGTAGGGAAAAATAAAGTTGGAAAGGTAGATTACAGCTAGACTAGAACACCTAGTCTGTATTTTATCCCTCAAGGAGGCCTACAATAAACTTCAGAAGCAACGGAAACAATGCTCCATGAGGAGCGTTAGATGACTCCTGACAGCTTGTACAAAATGTATTTCTGAGGCAAGATAGAGAAAGCAGGAGGATCCATTTATATCCCTGGTAAACAAGTGGAGCTCCCAGAGATCTGTTTTTTGTCTTTGGATCACTGGCACCCAGCTGTGCCTCCAATACAGCAAGTGCTCAATAAATGTTCGAAATTATTATAATAACCTAAAGAAAGTCCTGAAATAGGATGGTGGCAGTGGAAGTATAAGGAAGCCAGAAAGACCATCACGAACGGTCCTTAACCACTTATTTTTCCTCCAACGAACGAAGATTGGTAGGGACAAGATCAAGAGACAGGATTTGGAGTCCAGGGCCCAGAGTTCAGATTCTGACCCTGCTACTTATCACCTAAACCTGTTGGACTAGATTTCCAGGCTTCCTTCTCACGCTAAATCTGCGATCCTAAGGAGGGAGTCAGAAAGCGAGCCTGGGGCTTTTCAATCATTCACCCCGTAGTCTTTGTGGGGATCCGGGGTGGGAGGAGGAAGGCAGCGGCTCTCCCAGCCCGAGGCCGTTCCAGTGACCCAGGGACAGAGCTGGGGAACTTGTCGGCTCAGCATCCCGAGCCCGGGCCCACCGTCTCCCGCGGCCGCTGCCCAGGAAGCACAGGCCGCCAGGAAGCGCGCCCTGCCCCGGAGTCTCTGACACGGCCTCTGTCACCCTCCTGGGCAGGGGCTCGAGCCCTCGCGAGGGCCGGCAGGGAAGCGCCGCGTCAGCCGTACGGCCCTCGGCCCGACCGTCCTCCCTCCCAGCTCCGGTCCCGGCTCTCACCGCGCTTCCGCTTCTCCATTCGGACAGTGGGAGTGGGGCTGGGGGCTGGGACGGGGTCAAGCTCTGGAAAGCGGGCGGCTCCGCCACATGCCCGGAGCCGGCTCGCCCAAGAACAGCAGAAATTGACAGAAAGCGAAGAGCAGACAGGTAACCGATGCGAGAGAGTCCTGAGACTCCGACTTCCGCTCTGCGCCGGGCGGGCCAATCAACGCGCAGCGCTATACGTCATTTCCTTCTGGACTCTTGGAGGGGGCCGAGTCCAGCGGAAGAGGCGCCGGAAGGGGTGGGCCTAGGCGCAGCGAGCCGTTTGGAGATCCGCGTGGAACCTGCGCAGAGGTTTTCTGCCTCGGTAGCTCACCTGTTCATCGGACGCCCGGGGAGTCTCCCTGTGCTTTTTGGTGTGCCGCGGCAGGAAGCGCGGGTAGGTGAGGGGACTCTTGTGGATTACGATTTGGGGCGGTTTGCGTCATTTCTTCCAGCGGGCCCCCCCTCTCATCCCCACAGCCCCTGTGGCTCCTGGGAGGCCGCGTGCTGTCTGGTCACCACAGGTAGTCCTGAGCCCCCCGGGAGCTTGGGGCTACCTGGAGCTTGAGTGGGCCGGGGCCCATGCGAGCTGATGAGACATTTATCGATCACCTCCACCACGTCTCTCTGGTGCCTCCTGGGCCCCGAGAGGTGATGTTGGCAGAAAGCATTGCCTTGGAGGGTCCTGCCAGCCCCCCAGCCTCTGACTGGGTCTGCCGTCCCCGGACCCCCCCAGCTCACTTGTAAGTGATGCATCCCCAGCAGCGTGGCCGTTATGTGATGAATTATTCGGTCCTGGTAACTCAATAAATGGGCCCTGTGTGCTTTTCTTACCCTTAGTAAGAGGATACTGAGTTTTTAAGATCTAGGTTGTCTTGATTAGGTAGTTAATAGTACCTTGAAATATGCTTCATATTGTTTTACTGGATCTTCACAACCACCCCTCAAGGCAGCCAATATTACTGTTATCAGCCCCGTTTTATATAAGAGCAGACTGAGGCGCATGAAAGTTAAAGTGTCTAGGCCATTGACACAAAGCTACTGTGCCTTTGGAGCTTAGATTTGCAGCTTGAAAGGACTTCAGAAGCCAACTTCCTCGTTTGTTATTATAATGTTATTATTATTAATTTTAATGTTTAAAGTGTATTTTATTAATTTTGTTTTTCAAGTCAGTCTTTTTTAATCACACCGAATACCTCCCTCATTGAGCAAATTTTTAAAAAGCAGACATCCTTCAATATATATCTTCATAGTTTGGCAAAATAAATTCCCATGTTAACCACGTCCAAAAATATATTATGTCTGCATTTTTTTTTGAAGTTCATCTCATCTCTGTTAGAGCGTGACTGGCCAGTTTCATTTTCATTTTTTTGGTTTCATGATTTTTCATTGCATTGATTAGAGTTCTCAAGTCTTTAAGATTTATTTTTTTCTGTTACGTCATCATTGTATAAATTGTTCTATTTCTATTCACTTTGCTTTGCTTCAGTTCATAAAGTCTTTCCTAGTTTCCTCTGAAATTGTTCATTTCATCATTTTTTATGATGTAGTAATATTCCATTAGATGCATAGATCACTATGTATTTAGCCAACCTCCAATGGGCACTTTCCCTTAGTTTTCAGTTTTGGATCATTTCTGAAAGAGCTGCTATAAATATTTTCATATGCATAGATCCTTTTCCTCTTTTATTTCTTTGTGGCATAGGCCTTGTAGTAGTAGTATAGATGGGTCAAAAGGTTTTTGCATACTTTGGTAACTTCCTAAGCATAATTGCAAATTGCTTTCTATAATGGCTGGATCAACTCACAGCTTCATCAAGAACTCACTAGAGTACCTGTTCCTCCAACATTTGTCATTTTTCCTCCTCTAATGATAGTTGTAAGGTGGAGCCTCCAAGTTGCTTTAATTTACATTTTTCTAATGATTAGCAATTTACACCATTTTTTTATATAATTGTTGATAGTTTGGGTTTCTTCCTTTGAAAACTGCATGTTCTTAATTCTTAGACCGTTTATCTATTGGGGAATGGTTCTTGATCTTAATAGTTTCAATCAGTTTATTATCTGTCTTAGAAATGAGACCTTTTATCACAGAAAACTTTTGTTAGAAACTTATCGCAAATATTTTCCCCCGGTTACCTGTTTCCCATCCAATTTTTACTACATCAGATTTGTTTGTGCAAAAATTTATAATCAAAATTGTCTGTTTCATCTTGTGTAATCCTCCCTGTCAGTTATTTAGTCATGACCTCTTCCCTTGTCCATAGGTCCTAAAGATAATTTCTTCCTTGCTCCTTTAATTTGTCATGATGTCATCTTTTATAGCTAAGGTCATGTATCCATCTGGAGCTTATTTTGGTGTGTGGTGTGAGAACTAACGCCCTTCATTTTACAGATTGGGAAAGTGAGGCCCAGGAAAAGTTAAGTGACTTGCTGAAGGTCACACAGATAGTGAGCATCAGAGATAGGCTAGTTGGCCTTCCTACCTTATGCACACAATCTTTCCACTGTACATGGTACCTGTACAGGGCTGAATTTTATGCTACAGAATATAATGCAAGGATAGCTTCATAGAAGAGGTAGAATGTAACCTGGTCTTTGAGAGTAGGTAGAGAACAAAGAAGAAGCTTTTTTTTTTTAAAGGGGGCATCACTTGAATAAGGACAGAGACAGAGGAATGTGAGAAAACCTGAGAGTAGGTGAAGGTATGCATTAAGAAGTAGTTGGGGTAAAATTACATTGATTAGTTGGGTTGGAGTTATTTTATTGGTGGTCTCTAAAGACAGGCAGAGACTTTGGAGTTGAAAGCTTAAACAATCATTGAGTGTTTTCATTATCCTTGTGAGCATGCTGGGATGAAAAGTAATATTTAAGGAGTATTATTACTTGTGACTGTTGGATTGGAGCAGGGAGAACCTGGAATCAGGAAAGCCAACCAGGAGACTGTTGTCAGTCTAGCATGTTAGCAAAAGTAATTTAAAAAAAAAGAATGGGTACAAAAGATGGCAATACAGTCCTCTTTGAACTACCACCTAAATTTCAGTCTGATTGAATGAGTTCTTAGAAGGAATCCGTAGGGAGAAAAGAGCAGAGATGGAAGGACCAGGCTTTTAAGAACTCCAGTGGCAGAGATGAGATTCAAACTTAGGGCATGAATTGGGTCCAGGTAACAAGAGAATGAAAAGAGCTAAAAATGACTCTTAAGGTTTTGAGCCTGAGTAGTTGGGAGGATGATGGGGTCTCTAACAGAAATTGGAAAGTGATGAAAGAGATAACGTTTTAAGGAACAGGTGGTTAGTTTAAATTTTGAATATACTGAGTTGGAGGTAACAATGAGGGTCCTGTAGTGATGGCCAAAGAATTTTAGATAGAGAAATTGGCCCTGGAGAGAGATATGGGAACCATTTGAACTATGGTAATAGTTAAACCATGGGAGTGGATGCAGTTACCAAGGGAAAGATATGGAGAGATGAAAAAGTGTTCACAGCTGAATTTTGAGTGGAATAAATAAAATAAGAGAAGAAATTCAGCATAACTGATGGCTAAATGGGTGGGAGTGTGGCTATTTATTCAGCTGTGTTGAGACTTGAATGTCACAGATCTGATTAAGGTGCATTAAACATAATAGAACTAGTCTAGAGTTAGGGTAACATTAGTCAAGAATATATAGAAAATGGGGAGCCACGATGGTGGAGTGAAAGCAGTGACTTGCTTGAGCTCTCCCCCAAACCCCTCCAAATACTCATAAAAATGGCTCTAAACAAATTCTGAAGCAGCAGAATGCACAAAAAGACAGAGTGAAACAGATTTCCAGCCCAAGACAACCTGGATGATTGATCAGAAAAGTGTATCGCACCGGGCTGGGAGCGCAGCGCAGCGTGGGGGCGCAGGCCTCAGCAAACCTGGAGCAGGCCTCAGAGGACTGAATCTCAGGCAGCTGTGGAGGTTTCCAGACTCCTCAATCCACGAATGCCAAAGACAACTTAGAAGGTCAGTGGGAAAAGTCTGTTTCTGTCAGTGGTCAGAGAGGAAGGCAGGGTCTCAGCTCCATTCCCCAAGAGCCTGGCCCTGGGGGGGGGTGCAGCTGCTTCCCGAAGCTTCCGGCCCACAGACTGAGGGGGAATCCAGTGGCTGATCAGAGAAGGACTGCAGGGATCTCTTTGCCAGTGCTGAGGCAGGAATCTCTTGCTTTGCCCGTGTGTGGATCTGGGTCACAGTTCTGGGCGGCAGTGCTGGGGTGAGGAAGAGCGCTGGCGTGGTGGAGCTTGTAGTGGCTGTGGAGAGAAACCCCTCCTCACAGTTACAGGACAGAAAGGAATACTTGTAGTCACAGGCCAGGAAAGGAGTAAACACCTCGCCCCTTATCATGCCACCTTGGAAGAATTGAAAATTTACAGGTCCCTACAAGTATCTCTGAAAACAGCTACACAAACCCCTGAAGCTTGGGACAGTACATTCTCCACATTGGAAGCAGACTCTTACCTTAACAAAGAGTTTAAAACTCAAGTAATTGGCTGGGATCATGAGCAAGCAGCGCAAAAAGAGTCAGACTATATTATCTTACTTTGGTGAAAAGAAGATCAAAATATACAACCAGAAGAAGACAACAAAATCAAAGCTCCTACATCCAAAGCCTCCAAGAAAAATATGAATCAGTCCCAGGCCTTGGAAGAGCTCAAAAGGGATTTTGAGAAGCAAGTAAGGGAAGTAGAGGAAAAACTGGGAAGAGAAATGAGAGTGATGCAAGAAAATCATGAAAAAAGTCAACAGCTTGCTAAAGGAGACCCAAAAAAATACTGAAGAAAATAACACCTTAAAAAACAGCCTAACCCAAATGGCAAAAGAGGTCCAAAAAGCCAATGAGGAGAAAAATGCCCTAAAAAGAAAAATTGGCCAAATGGAAAAGGAAGTCCAAAAGATTACTGAAGAAAATACTTCCTTAAAAATTAGAATAGAGCAATTGGAAGACAGTGACTTTATGAGAAATCAAGACACTGTAAAACAAATCCAAAAGAATGAAAAATTAGAAAACAATGTGAAATATCTCATTGGAAAAAACTGACCTGGAAAATAGATCCAGGAGAGAGAATTTAAAAATTATTGGACTATCTGAAAGCCATGATCAAAAAAAGAGCCTAGACATCATCTTTCAAGAAATTATCAAGGAAAACTGCCCTGATATTTAGAACCAGAGGGCAAAATAGAAATTGAAAGAATCCACAGATCTCCTCCTGAAAGAGATCCCCAAAGGAAAACTCCTAGGAATATTGTAGCCAAATTCCAGAGTTCCCAGGTCAAGGAGAAAATATTACAAGCTGCCAGAAGGAAACAATTCAAGTACTGTGGAAACACCATCAGGATAACACAAGATTTAGCAGCTTCTACATTAAAGGACCAGGGCATGGAATATAATATTCCGGAGGGCAAAGGAGATAGGATTACAACCAAGAATCACCTACCCAGCAAAACTGAGTATAATCCTTCAGGGGAAAAAATGGTCATTCAGTGAAATAGAGGACTTTCAAGCATTCCTGATGAAAAGACCAGAGCTGAATAGAAAATTTGACTTTCAAATACAGGACTCCAGTGGAACATGAAGAGGTAAACAGGAAAGAGAAATCATAAGAGACTTATTAAGATTGAACTGTTTACATTCCTGCATGGAAAGATGATATTTGTAACTCATGAGAACTTTGTCAGTATTAGGGTAGTTGAAGGAAAAAAATTGTATGTATGTATATATAGATAGATAGAGGGCACAGGGTGAGTTGAAGATTAAGGGGTCATATCTGGAGAATAAAATTAAGGGATGAGAGAGGATGATACTTGGAGAAGAAAGGGAGAGGTAGAATGGGGTAAATTATCTCACAAAAAAAACAAAAGAAAAGTCTCTCACAGTGGAGGGGAAACAGGGGAAGGTGAAAGGGAATGAGGGAATCTTATTCTCATAGGATTTGGCTTAAGGAGAGAATAACATACACATTCAATTGGGTATGGAAATCTGTCTTACCCTACAGGAAAATAGGGGAGAAGGGGACAAGAGAGCAGGGGTGATAGAGAGGAGGGCAGATTGGGAAAAGGGTGATCAGAAGCAAATACTTCTGAGGAGGGACAGGGTCAAAAGAAAGAATAGAATAAATGGGAGGGCAGGATAGGATTAAGGGAAATAGAGTTAGTTTTTCACAACATGTCTACTATGGAAGTGTTTTGCATAACTGCACATGTACAACCTATATTGAGTTGCTTGCCTTTTCAATGAGGGTGGGTGGGGAGGGAGGAAGGGAGAAAATTTGGAACTCAAAGTTTTAAAAGCACATATTTAAAAAAATATATATTTTCACATGCAACTGGGAAATAAATACAGGAAATGGGGTACAGAAGTCTGTCCTGCTCTACAGGAAAATAGAAGGGGAAGGGGATAAGAGAAGGGAGGGGGGAGAGATAGAAGAGAAGGCAGACCAGGGGAAGGAGTATTCAGAATGCATGCCGTCTTGGGGTGGGGGGGAGGGGTGAGAAATTTGGAACTCAAAAACTTGTGGAAGGGAATGTTGAAAACTAAAATAAATAAATTTATGTATAAAAAATTAAAAGAATATATAGAAAATGAAGACCAAAGATAGGTAATGTGTGTAGCTTTATGTTAAAAGAAGTAATTTAGTGTAACTTAATGTGAAAAACAAGCACATGCTTTGTGTTAACCACGTGGCTACTCAGTAGCTGTGTGATAGCACACAGCATCCAAAAGAATTGAATTGCGTATTTGCTTACAGGCAGTTTGCTTCCAGTGGCATTAGATGGTGTGCCATGGGGCTCACCAAACAGTACCTGCGTTATGCTGCCAGTGCTGTCTTTGGCTTGATTGGTAGCCAGAAGGGCAACATTGTCTTTGTAACTCTGCGTGGCGAGAAGGGACGCTATGTGGCAGTACCAGCCTGTGAGCATGTCTTCATCTGGGATATACGGAAAGGAGAGAAGGTAAAGTAGCCATTTGCTAGTAACTCCAGGATTTATATTAGGATCATTTGGGGGGCAGGGAAGAGGGAGATGCTGGAAGGCCAGCTGTCTATGACTGCACCCACCCTCATGTCACAGAGATCCTCTTTCGAGCAGACAGCTTAACATCAGGTCCAAACCACGGGTGCTAGCATTACCACAATCCTGGCAACTCCTTTTCATTGTCTTTAGGGTACCTATAAGGAATTAATCTGCTGACCTTTTGCTGTTTCTCACAGCTCTGCTTTTGCACCCCTTACCTGATCTTGGCCTTTGCTTTCCAGTTCTTGCAGCTTATCAGCAAATTGCAGGGTAAAAACTAAAATGTTTTCTTATGTTGAAGAGGAGAGAGAAACATAGGATTTAGAGCTAGAAAAAGGCTGGAAAAGATCTTTTAGTTTGATTTCCCCCTTTAAGGAAAGGAAAGTGAGGCCCAGAGAGAGGAAGGCGTGATAGAATAAGGAGTAAGCAGATTGCTGCGTATTCCATCCCCCATCTTTCCCCGGTTACGTGCCTGATATGTCCTAAGAAACTAATTCCCTTACAGACAGAATCTGGAAATAATTCTGATGCCCTGAAAATTGGTTCTTCTGAAAATAGTATATGCTATACTTTTAATCCTCAAGTCCCCAAATCAAAATTTTGTTGCTACCATTTACATGAAGTAAAAGTTTGATGGTTCATCACTCATGCCTGGCAGGCTTATTTTATGTTGTTTAGATAAGTCACCTTACTTATTATTGTACCTTTATTTCACTTGATCAATGAGACTAATAATTCCTGCCTCAAAAGACTCAGCATGTAATTACTATTTATTTGTACATATGATTTGGAGAACTAATATTTTTGACATAAAGTATACAACTATCTACCCCCCTTTGCCAAAAAGGAAAGCTTAGCTCCTGCATAGTTCATGTTTCAGTGTTCTTGTTTTTTTTTTTTTTTGTGATTTCAGATTCTTATTCTTCAGGGGTTTAAACACGAAGTTACCTGTTTATGTCCGTCACCAGATGGATTGCACTTATCTGTGGGCTATGAGGATGGGTCTATCCGCATCTTCAGTCTTCTGAGTGGTGAAGGGAATGTGACCTTCAGTGGACACAAGGCAGCTGTCACTGCCCTGAATTATGATCAGCTGGGGGGCAGACTAGTGTCTGGGTCCAAGGTAGGAATTGTAGGAATTGTGGGGGAGTGACTGGGCATGTACTGAGCCTTTGATAGACTAGAGATAGAGTAATATGTTCAAACAGATTTTTTTAATAAGAGTTTTTGGGGGAGACTTTGGAGTCTCAATGATATGAAACTACAGTTGTCTGGGGTGGGATTAGGATGAGTAAGATTTGGAGATGAGTTCTCCAGAGCCAGTCTGGTTCTTTTGATGCTTTAAACCTTCAAAGGTAGCTTCTTTGTACAGATTTAGAAAAGTGGGGTAGCACAAGGCAAACTTGAGTTAGATAAGAATAGCAGTGAAGGTGTGGCTGGTCTCTTGCTGGACAACGTCATCTTATTTTTGCCATATCTGTTCTCTTCAAAGGACACTGATGTTATTGTGTGGGATGTGATCAATGAGAGTGGCCTCTACCGTCTGAAGGGACATAAGGATGCCATCACACAAACACTGTTCCTACGAGAAAAAAACCTGCTAATTACCAGGTAAAGACCTAATAGTTAACCTGCTAGGTCTTCCCCACTTCTCTTCTTTCATGGGGACTGCTCAGGAATGAATGAACAAATGAATTAATGAATGAAAACAATTATTGGCTTATTATGTGAGCAGAAGTATACTAAGTACTGAGGGTGCAAAAAGAAAAATGAGACAAAATAGTTCTTGCTCCAAAGAAACTCACATTCTAATAGGACAAATACATATGTAAAGGCTCAGCTCCACTGCAAATGGAAAGGTCCTTAAGGTGTAGCGGCAAATTACATAATAATTTACCTTCTTTAGTGTCATCAAAAAGAAGTGTTTTTTTTTAATTTTGAACTAAATTCTTTAGCATCATCAAAAAGTGTTTTTTTTAATCTTTGAACAGCAAAAAGCATTTCTGTACACACAATAAAGATACTATGTGAACACATGAACCTTCATTTAATACTGCTTTCATATTATATTTGCATATATAAATTCTGCATGTTACTTTTAAAACTGCCTTGCTAGTATTTTCTTCCTTCTGTACTTCTCCTTTAAACATTTAGAAAAATTATACTGCTCTCTTTTTTAGGGAGTTATTATTGCTGACCTGTCTTTTCTCCCTATCCCATCTCTCAATTAAAAACTGAGAAAAAGGAAGAAGGGGAAACAAATAAGTATAGTCCAACAGAATGAATCCATGCATTGGCCAAGTCTAGGAATGTATGTCTCTTTCTGCACCTTGTGCCCATCACCTCTCAGTCAAGAGGTGGGTAACATTCATTTTAGGTCCTTTGGAGACATGTTTATCATTGTATGATCAGAATTTTTAAGTCTTTTAAAATCATTTTCTATATAGTGTTGCTGACCTGGTATAACTTGTCCTGGTTCTGCTCACTTCTCTTAGCATCCCTTCATACATCCTAGGATTTCTTGCTACTCACTAATAGTCTATTTATTTGTTGTTTTTTTTAAATAGTTTTTTCTTTTAATTTCTCCCAGTATACTACTAGTGGTACAAGTGATGGCCACTGTCTTTTCAGGTGTCTTTATTTAAAAAAAAAAGCATTTTAAACATTCTTTTTTAAAATTTTGAGTTCCAAATTCTCTCCTTCCCTCTCACCCACTGAGAATGCAGACAAAATTATATTAAGTAATTATACATGTGGAATCATGCAAAACATTTCCATAGTAGCTATCTTTCAAAAAAAATAAAATGAGAAAATACAGTTCAGTTTACACTCAGAGTTCATCAGTTCTCCCTCTGGATGTGGATAGCACTTTTTCATCATGAGTCTTTTGGAATTGAGTTGGATCATTGTATTGATCAAAGTAGGTAAGTCTTTCAAACTTGATCATCCTTACAGCATTGATGTTATTGTGCACAACGATCTCCCAGTTCTTCTCACCTCCCTTTGCATCAGAGTTTCTATAGGTCTTGCCGTGTTTTTTCTGACCCCTCCCCTCCGTTGTCATTTCTCATAGCACAAGAGTATTCCATTACAATTATATGCCACCGCTTGTTCAGCCATTCCTCAATTGGTTAGCATCCCCCCAATTTCCAATTCTTTGTCACCACAAAGAAAAAAACTTCTATAAATATTTTTGTACATACAAGTCCTATTACCTTCTTATACCGTAGTTGTTCAGCCATTTCTTAGTTGTCTAAGAGGCAGTAAGTTATCTACCTAGATTCTAGTTCTTTGTTTTTTCTTTTTTTCTCCTTTTAATACCCTCTTCAGGATCAAGAAATTTGTTTAGCTTGCATACATTTCCTCCCTGATATTCTCCCTCTTAAGCCATATCTAAAATGGTTTACCTGTTGAGTTTGATGTATTTCTACTGTTAACTCTGTGTGTGTGTGTGTGTGTGTGTGTTCGATGCTCTTAATCCTTTTCCAATAAGAGGATTCTCTGGTGCCTGATCCCCCCATTCCTTGTTTGTATAGTCTTTTTCTCATGTATTTTGATTACAAGAAATAGCAAGTTTTACCCCCTTCTTCCTCCTTTCTGTACTAGCGTGTTCCTTTTAACCTTCCTTTTCCCCCTCTTCAGATCCTCAGAACAAGAGCCGTGCTTTTCTTCTTTAATGCTCTCATTCTTCTTTCAGGACGTAAAGGAAGGATCTGAAGGAACAGTTGCTTCTTCTTCCTCTGTTAGAATTCTAGTGCTGCATCATCCTATGGTTCCCTCTAATTGCTCAAGTCAGTTTGACTTTCTAGGTTTTTCTGAGTTTGTGTTTGTATGTCAGAGTTCCTGCCGAGTTCTGGTCTTTTCGTGAGAAATGCTTGAGAGTCCTTTATTCCATTAAAGGCCCATTTTCTGTTTCTTTGTTTTCTGTAATATTATGCTCGACTTTGCAAGGTAAGTTAGATCATGATCCTTTTTCTTTGACCTTTTAGAATATGGCATTCCAGGATTTCCTCTTATGCATAGTAGAAGCTTTCAGGTCTTGTTCTTCTTTCCCCCAGTAGAGATTTTTTTTCCAGTTTTTTTCTTTCTTTTTTTTTTAGGCAATTGGGGTTAAGTGACTTGCCCAGGGTCACACAGCTAGTAAGTGTCAAGTGTTTGGTCTGGTCGGATTTGAACTCAGGTCTTCCTGACTTCAGGGCCGGCATTCTATCCACTGCGCCACCTAGCTGCACCAGGATTTTTTTTTTTTGAAAGACCCTTCTTTTCCTATGTCTTCTTCCATAGCTTCAGATCATTTTGAATTTTAGATTCCTTATATTATTACTGGATTGTACCAGGGTTGTTGTATGTTGATTTTTTGCAAAACTAGCCGGGTCATTGATTTTCCAGTTAACGTGGTGGTGTTGTGCAAATGATCTTTCTGTTTTTACTTTCAGTGGCAAAGACACTGTAGTGAAATGGTGGGACCTTGATACACAGCACTGCTTCAAAACAATGGTTGGCCACCGAACTGAGGTAACTGCAGCATGAAGAGAGGTCATGTGGCCATTGGGGAAGGGTGACTTGAGCCAGACCAGGGTTTGTAGCCCTTGTATCACTTACCACATGCTCTCTGCCTTTGTAGCTCTACTAAGTAAATCTTGGTGAGAGCGGGGGTCGTGTCCTCAGTGTCTGTGTCCCCTCCCAACAGGTTTCCCCCTAAGGTAGGTTTGGTAAAGGTTGGTCAAAGAAATGGAGAAAAAAGAAGTACTTGGGTTTTGGAGTCACCACCTCATTGCCATTATCACTGTTGCTGTGGGAAATGTGGAGGCTAAACAGAAATATTTACTGAGTACTTGTACTGTGTGCAGTGTGTTGTGAAGGGTGCAGAGGAAGAGCATTTGTTAAGATAGATGTTAATCTACAAGAAAGAAATTTAAGAGTGAGAAACCAGAGAGAATTTCTTTTCACCTGATCAAAATTAGGTACTTGTAGTATTCCTACCCCTAGGTCATTTTCCTTTCATTTCTCAAGGAGTTCAGCCCCTGGGTCACTGCCTCCTTCCCTTCCCCAACTCCTGCCCTTACGTTAGGGGCCCTTCGTATTCATGTCAGTGATGCTCCCTAACTTCCCATTTCCTCAGGCTCCTGTGTTTTTATTCTGCCGCAACTACGTGGGTTGATCACACACTCGATCTTGCCATTACCTTTCCAATATTCCACTTCCCTAGTTAAAAACACACATTGCCTTATCTGACCCTAACCGCTGTTTCTACCATTTTTCCTCTCCCTGTGCTTCCTTCACTCCTTCTATACATGTTCTTTACCCTCAACAAGACCTTTTCTTTCCTCTACCCCTCAGTGCCTTCCCCCGTTTGAATTCACTTTCTTTTTCTCCAGCTCAACCCAATAATTAGCAATTTCAACGTTACTTCGTCCTCTGCTCTTGAAACCCTTGCCATCTTGCTCTGTTATTGCTCTTCTCTTGCCAAACCTTAGTCCTGCCACCCAGCTCCTCCATTGATGAAGGTGGGGAAATCTTTACACGTTCCTCTGTTCTCTTCTCCTTTCCCATAGCCTCTGATAATGAAATGACTCTTCTCCTTGCCAGGGCTAACCCATCTACTTCAGTGCCTGGCTGTTTCTGTAAAGACCACAGGGTATTGGAATGGATTATCTAAGAAGTTGTGAAATCCAACTGTCACCTTTTGTGGAGTAGGCCATTGAAGCTCTCAGAGCTGTGATTCGGTCCTAGTCATGTAGCTCCTCCTTAGTGGCCAAGCCAGGAGCATAGGGCCCCCAATTATTCTCTTTCTACTATGCTTCCATGCTTGGGAGATTAGTCTTTCCTCCCCTAGAGAGGAGAAAATTTATCTAAAGCTGTTTTCTGAAAGGACTGCTATTCAAAGCACAAAAAACCCCCAAGAAAATCAATTGTGAAATATCCATACCAGTATAATGAGATATCATAACAAGTGGAACTTCTAAAAGTCCTGCTTTTTGTGTTCTGTTCAGGTTTGGGGACTGGCTCTGGTATCTGAAGAAAAACGCCTCATCACCGGAGCTGCAGACAGTGAGCTGAGGGCGTGGGACATCACCTATATAGAGGAGGTAATTGTTTGACCGCATCTTCCTTTTCATGACAATGATGAGCTTTGTGGTGTTTTTCAGATTGAAGTTTCACTTCAGAGGCCAAGGCCTTGTCTTCCTGTCTCATCTGCCCAGAGAAAGAAAATTAAGTCAGCATCTGAATAGGGCCCCAGTTACCCTTGCTGATAGTTTCGTGTCCTGTGGCTTACAAACTCTCCTCCTCTTCCCCCTCCCGGAATCGCTGTGACTCGGCCCAAACTCCTTTCTATGCTTCTTTCCTTTCCTTCATTCCCACCTGCCTCAGGTTTCCCCACACATGGGGCCATTTGGAGGACCTGGCACACTTTTTTTTAAAGAAATTTTTTTTTAGGCAATTGGCTTTTAAGTGACTTGCCTAGGGTGACACAGCTAGTAAGTGTCAAGTGTGTGGTCTGAGGCTGGATTTGATCTCAGGTCCTCCTGACTTCAGGGCCGGTGCTCTATTCACTGCGCCACCTAGCTGCCCCACCTGGCACACTTCTCGCTCCTGGCCGCTGCTTCAGATCATTCCTCCGCTGTTCTCACCAATCTCTCCTCCTTTGAGTTTTGTTCCTTTAACATCTGTCATCCTGGGCAGATCCTTGTTTCAGTAACCTACTGGCCCTCAAATCATTCTCCTTTCTTTCTTAAGGAGTTAACCAGGAGGTTCGCAGTCTTCTTTTCTTTCCCACCCCCAGCTCTTGTACCCAGGGACTGCATGAGCCATGTCGATGTTCCCTCAAACCTAGCTTCCCAGGTTATTAACCTCTTTTCTTGTGAATTGCACCTTGACTTCACCTCAGCCATACACAGTAATAGTTCATACCCTTGATCTCAATACCACCAAAAAGTCTACAACCTGTGTGATCCAGACTCTGAATTTCTTTTCTTACACCGGACTCTCCTTTCCTCCCATTTCTCCCTTTGCCTCACACCTTTAAAACCTGTTTTGTTTCCATTGTGTCTCTCTTGTTCTCCTAGTTCCATTACCCCTTCTCTAGTCTCTTTACTCCCTGAGCTACTTTGACCCTAACCACTTTCACTTTATAAAGTCTTCTGTCCTTGAGTCTCTTTCACTTTTGTCCTCCTGCCTAAATCTGCACTTTGGATTTTCCTCAACTCAGGACCACCCTCCACTCTACCCCCTTGGTCAGTTGTCACTGTTACGTGCTGCCGAGTGATGCTGGAGGAAGCCATGATGAATATTGAGTGGGTCAAGCAGCCTCCTTCAAAGCACTGGTCAGGTGCCTCCATACCTGAAGGTTTCCTGAAGCCCTTCATCTCCCCAAAGTTCCTTAAGGGCATGACTGCCTAATTTTTGCCTTTATCCCTAGCAGGTGTTGGGCTGATAAAGTCCTGTTGAATTAAATTTAGATGAATTTTTTGTAGGTTTCTCACTTGCATTCTTCTTTAGGAAACATTGTCCCATAACATAATATGTCCTCATTCAGTTGAGGTGCTAGAGTTAGTGTGTAGTTCAGTGTGAGAGGGTTTATATCCTCTGGTGCAGGGAGAGGTGGAGGGAAGGACAGGGCTCTTTCATTACCACAAACTTGGGCAGTGTGGAGGATGCAGAGTCACGGCTGGTGGTGATATTGCTATTCACTGATGGCAGAGTAGTTGGTAGTGTTTGGACGGGATTGTTCTGTTGTTAGAGAGATACAGGCCAGGAAGAACACAAGCTGCCCGTGTTCTCTGACCAGCTTTTAGGGTGGGAACATTTCCATGTCATGGGGCAAAGACAGCAGCCTCTTCTACAGTGTCTTTTTTTTTTTGTCTTTCTATGTGCATACAATGAATAGATGAAAGACCTTGATGAACCCAACTCAAAGAAGAGCCGAGGATCTTGTCTTGGGATGCAGGGGACTCATGGAACGGTGATTGGGGACCCTGAAGCGGATGAAGACCCTGAGGATGTAATGGTCCATTCTTATAGTTATCTCTTTCCTGAGGCTGATGGGTTAGGGAAGGAAGCACCGCAGGGTTTGGGGATGTATGTATGCTGCTGTTTTTTAGAGAATGCCAGCACCCTTCTTATGAATCCCACTGTTCACTTGTTTATTTTTCTTCCCAAAGAGGTAGCAGAGCCCGCCTTTCACCACTCTCTTTTCTCTTTTTTTTCCTTTGTAGCGTATTCTTTCATGTAGCAAAGCTGGTTCCATAATGCGGGAAGGAAGAGACCGTGTTGTAAATCTTGCTGTTGACCGGACAGGCAGGATTCTTGCTTGTCACGTAAGTACTAAACATAGTGGGGAATAGAAGACTCCTCCTTTCTTTCTTTCTTTTTTTTTTTTTGGTTTGTTTTTTGTTTTTTAGGCAATTGGGGTTAAGTGACTTGCCCAGGGTCGCACAGCTAGTATATGTCAAGTGTTTGGTCTGAGGCCGGATTTGAACTCAGGTCCTCCTGACTTCAGGGCTGGTGCTCTATCCACTGCGCCACCTAGCTGCCCATTAACTCCCCCTTTCTTATAAAAAGTGAAATAACATGTTTTCATGGATCCTGTTAATTCATTTCAGTGTATTGTCTACACATTAAGATGCCTAATTTATTATTGGTATCATGGTTGTTATTATTTAAAGTGTATCCCTGTCTTACAGATGAGTTAACTGGGGTACAAAGAAATTGTAGGACTTTATATAGAATCATGGGTTTAGATTTAGAAGAGACCTTGGGAAACAAATGAGTCACCATCTATTTTTACTGATCCCTAACAACCTATCCTCCATATACAGACAGTTCTCACTTTATGTAAATTCACATTATTCAAATTTGATTTTATATAAAGAATTCTGAAAGAAATCCACATTCCAAAAAAACCACATATGTTAACTTTACCGTGTAGTACCATGCACTTGCTTGTTACTCCTGCCCCCTTGGCTTGGTGCTCCATGGCATTCCACCAAACTCCCACTCCCCAAAGTGAAAGCAGAAGAAATAGATGCATGGAAAGACCACTGCCAGTGGATTGAAGGCTTGGCTTGAGATCTCTGGTGTTGAGAGAGAAGACCTTTGCCCTGCTCCTCCCATCTGCTTGTGTCCAACCCCCGCCTGTCCACACTTGGGTACTGTGTGTCTGTCTCCAGCCTGTGTATCACCTGTCTTCACCTGCCTGTCTGTATCTGCTCCCCACATGTTCTTCCTCAGTTCTGGCTAGGCCTCCACATGGCTGCCCTGGCCCCTATGTGTTCCTCTTCCTCCTGCTCTTGCTTTTCTGTCCCCAGTCCCCACGTGTCCTTGAACTGTGTGGTGGCCCCCTTTCTCTGTCCTTCCCTCCCTCACCTTTCTGCATCTGTGGGCAAATTCACATTATGTAAAAATCACTTTACATAGAGGTCTGCAAAACAGTCCACTTAACATGAAGTGGGAAGTGTCTGTATATTTGTGTTTTATTAGCACCATTGTAAATATCCCCTTTACAGCTTCAAATCTGGGTAGTTTAAAATTGCCATAAGTGGACATATCATTTAATCCATTCCCCTCATTTAAAAGATAAGGAAACTGAGCCCTCAGAGATTGAATGTTTTGTTTAAGGTTACACTAGAATAAGTAGTGGAGCCAGGATTTGAACCCGGCTCTTATAATTCTGATTCAGCACTCTTTGCCATCATGATCCAGCCCCTGCCAAGGAAGAAGAGTTAGATTGAGACTTGACTGTAGATGAAATAGACTTCAGTATTCTTTCTTAATTGTTGGGTTAATATCAGTCTGTTTGCCTCTTGCAGGGAACTGATTCTATTTTAGAAGTGTTTTGTATTCTTTCCAAAGAGGAAATTCGGAAGAAAATGGATAAGAAAATTAAGAAAGCCAGGAAAAAAGCTAAGTAAGTTCTGTCAGCTTATTTCAACTACGAATGTATGGCACAGTCAACATTTTACTGATGGGAAAATTGAAATTTCGTTTAGAAGAATGAGAATTTCTTCCCCCCCCCCCTTTTAAAGGCAATAATTAGTAGCAAGAACTAGGTTGTCATCAGCTATCTCTTCTTAAATAATAAGTTATGAATACATGATGTTTCCTTTATCTGGAATCCAGCTTACAAGTTGTTTGTCTATAACTGCGCAATAGAATTTCTGCAAGGGACAGGAGCCTTAGTGGAAGAAGGTTGTTCAGTTGTCTGGGGCTACTCCTTAGAAGCTGGTAAGATAACTACACATAGGGGCAGCTAGGTGGCAACACTTACTAGCTGTGTGACCCTAGGCAAGTCACTTAACCCCATTGCCTAAACAAATAAACAAAAAAAAGATAACTACGTGTGATCTGTTTTCCTGAAGCTAATAGGCTAATGGCAATCTTACATTCCAATAGCTGAAAGTATTAAGCAAATAATTTTAATTAGCCTTCTGTAACAACTCATCCTTTTTCTTTTTTTAATTAAAAAAATTTTTTTAAAATTTTTATTCCAAATTCTCTTCATCCCCCACCCATTAAAAAGGCAAGAAATACCCAATATACATAATCTTATTCTTTCTTGATGGGCTTTTGCTGTTCCTATTGGACCCTTTCTTATATTACCAGTAAGTACAATAATCTATAAGCTGCTCTAGGCATCCATTACATTGAGTTACTTTCCTTTGAAAAACTTGTTAGAGAAGATATTTCATTTCCTCGAGAGCTCATTTTAATTTCATCTGTCTGCTTTAATGCCCATTTTCCTTTTTTTTCCCTTTGTATACAGGACATATACACAAGAACTATTCCTCCCCACCCATTTCCGGCATGTTTTACTTGTCTGCCAATGGCATGGGCAGATGTTTAGTTTAACTTTTTCTTGAGTTCACTGTCAAAAGAAATTCTTAAGAATTTGAATAAAAACACTTGTTTCGGATATAATTATCTTGGACCACATTGGGATTCTTTTAAATGGAAGGATATTCTGAGAAATACAGAAATTAGTTTGTTTTTTAAGAGGTGTGAATTTTAGGATATTTTTTTTCTAGATTAAGTTCTGGGGAAGGGGAGCAAGAGGACCTTGAAGTTAGTGTGTCTCTGCAAGACGAGATCCAGCGGGTAGCTCACATCAAAGCTTCGGCCAAGATCAAGTGAGTGAATGTGATACTAGCTCTCCTACAGAGCTTTGAAGTTACATTTTCATTTGATCCAGAAAGTGGATGGTGGAGGTGTCCTTGAGAGTCATAGCCCAGCTCCCCTGCTGCAGCATTCTTCTTGAGGTTTGCCTTCATCCCTACAGTCAGTAATTTTATAGTATTGTATTCCCCTTGCATACCTCACAAAGAATTTTGGTTTTATATCTAATGCATTTATCATGTATTGTTTTGTGTCATAGTTAACCTCTCTATGCCTTTTCCCACTGCTAGTGTGTAAGTTTGATGAAGGCAGGGACTTTCTCTTACTTAAATATTGTATTTACACCAGCACCTAGCATTCTACATTCTAGATGCTTAGGAAATGTTATTGAATTGGTCACTGTACAGAGCTGGACACAACCTTTCCCCTTTTTCTCCCCCATAAAACCAAACTGAAAAACAATAATAAAAAACCAGTGTTCTTACTGCTAACTAGGCATAGAAAGTGATTCTTGATTTAGGCAAGTAACTCTTTGTAAAATAAATCCTTGGGGGCAGCTAGGTGGCACAGTGGATAGAGCACCAGCCCTGGATTCAGGAGGACCTGAGTTCAAATCCGGCCTCAGACACATAATGACACAAGCTGTGTGACCCTGGGCAAGTCACTTAACCCCATTGCCTAGCCAAAAAAAGAAAAAAAAATCCCTGGCTTTGATCTCACAACCTTGTCTTCATTCTTTGTGCTGTCCTTGTGGCTTTCCATCTTCACCTCACTGAGTAATAGTTTACCCTGTTTCCTCCTTTGTAACAAAAAAGTAAATTGGTAACGTGCTACAAAAGGTTGTTACCTCAGAAAATAATCATATTATTAGCGTTGCTATTGTCAAGATTGTTCAGGCCTGATATTTTTGAATCTTGAAAATTGTTTACAGTTGAATGTCCCCATTGATGTGTTTTCCATCCAGATTGGGCAGCGTGTTCTGAACACCGAGAAGAGGACATCTTTGCATAGAAATTGACAAGCTTATGGCTGGAATCCAATTTGAAGCTAATTTTATCTCACACAGGTCCTTTGACTTGATTCATTCTCCCCATGGAGGGTTGAAAGCTGTCTTCCTGCTGCAAAACAACCTAGTGGAAGTGTATACCCTGAACCCATCCACTCCTGCTCCACAGCCCATCAGGACAGCCAGGATCACCATCGGGGGTCATCGCAGTGATGTCCGCACCTTGTCATTTAGTTCTGACAATATTGCTGTCCTTTCAGCGGCTGCTGACTCTGTCAAGATATGGAACAGGTTTATGAATCTGCTATTCTTAGTGGCAGTTCTCCCCAGAGTACTCTCCTTCCCTTTGTTTTGTGATTTAATTTTAAAAACTTAGCAGTTCCCCAAGCACCTAAATGCACTTCCTTAAAAATTCATTGGATGTGACATTTCATTTTTTTTTTACTGTAACTTGAGACTGTATTTATAAAGAGGTTGAACTTCACTTTGTACTTCATATTAAATAATCTTTAAATCTAAAATTTTTATGATACTATAAAATGAAATTTGAACCTGAGTAATATACATTTAAATTTTGTTATTAAATATAATTCATGTTAGGTATACTAATACTAATAATCAATAATTATTAAATAATTTCAATTAATAGTACCAGAATTAAATTATTTTAACAATTGTATGGGTAATAAGTATTAATGGTCATTAATTATATGATTAAATGTCATTGATAATGACATCTACATAATGGACTTTATAATTTGCAAGGCATTTTACACACATGACATGATTTCAGTCTTACAACAATGCTGTGAGGAAGATACCACCAGTACGATGAGGAAACTGAGGCTAAGACTACTTAAGTGATGGCAGGATCATAAATCAAAGAAACTGGGTTTGCCCCATCAGGCCGCTGTTGCTGTCTTCTTGGCACGTTAGCCTTTCATTGATACCATGTTGTGGGAAGGAGTAGCCAGGTGAATGTGGAGAATCTGTTACAACACTTAGAAGTATTTGAAAGTGTGTTTCTTTTGTTTTTTGATTAAGAAGTTGTCATCTTGAATATTGCCATCCTAACTCATGAGCTGACTTCACTTTGGCCATTTTTCCCTCCCCTTCCCCCACTTTACTGATTATAAGGAATATTCCATTATACTTTATAAGTAGGATTCCACAAAGGGAAACTCTTCCTTTGATTATTCAAGGAAGGTCTTTCTCAAGGGCATAAAGTTCTATGTGGAGTGGTAGGTCCTATTACAGAAGTATTAAGGGTGTATTTGAGCCCGGTTACTAAGGCTTTTAATGCCGAGACCTACAAGACCAACTCACATGTCGAAATGGTCTAATAATGAGTTCTTTGAAGCTTCAGAGCCTCAGGATGAAAATAGATGAATGTAGTAGGGATGGGTGATCCTCTCCTCTGTAAGGGAGAAAAGGTTCCGTCTTTACTTATTTAAGGAGTTAGAGAAGCTGGCGTCTAAGGTCCTTTCCAGCTCTAATCTCTGATCCTATGAGCCTTCCTTTCTTATAGGTCTACACTGCAGTGTATTCGGACAATGACTTGTGAATATGCTCTCTCTTCATTATTTGTTCCTGGAGATCGGCAGGTGATCATAGGAACAAAGGTAAACAAAGGCTTTGTTTTGGATTTCTAAGGCTTTTTTAGATCATTTTGTGAAACTGTCATTCTTTAAGTAAGCAGGGGCAGCTAGGTTTTTAACCAGAAGCAAATAACAAGAAGGGTATAGGTCCATCGTCTGATTGTTGGATCAGGCAGTTTGAAATGCTCATCCTAATTTAAAAGTAAATTAAAAAGTTTTAAAAAAATTATATTTGTGTAGTACTTTATAATTTAGGAGGCATCTTGGTTTAGTGGAAAGAATTGCAATTAGATGACAAATGTTCAGTTCTACCAATCTTATAGACCTGTAGCAAGAATCAAATTAAACTGTATAAAGTGCTTTAATTTTTAAAGCAAAATATAAATATGAGTAGTATTATTTTTATGTAAGTTATCTGTTTGAGCCTCACAGTCATTATGAGGTGGATGAGGAATGGCATTATCCCTGTTTTATAGAAGAAGAAACTGAAATTTTAACTGAGGTTTCAATGATTTGCTCAAAGTCTTAGTGTCAGTAAGAGAGAGCCATAATTACAGTCCATCTCTCATGAGTCATTATCAAATGTTCTTTCCACTAAGCCACATTGATGTTCTTTTACTTTCTTTTGCCTCAGCATCCAGGCAGTCAGCCAGTTAATCAGGCACGTGTGTGCCAGGGATTGTGCTAGATGCTGGGGATAGGAAGACAGAATGAAACGAGCCACACCATCGTGGGGCATCAGTATGTCTGTCATAAGTATGTATTATAGTGTGTATTATAGTGCACACCAGAGAGGATCCAGGAAGAGAGGGGTGGTCAGCAGTGTAAGATGTTACGGAAAACAAGCTGAGAAATCATTCATTGGTCACTTTGAAGAACAGTGTGTTTAATAGTGAGGTTGAAAGACAAATTGTAATGGATTGAGAAAGAAGTAAAAAGAGTAAGTGAATTTTCTAGGAATGTGGTTGTGAAAGAGAAGAGATTAAGGATGGTTGTGCTAGCTTGAGGGAATAATAAGGTCAAGTAGCAAGATAGGAAATGGTGATAAAAGTATTTCTCAGTCTCATTGTCAGCAAATTACCAGCAAAATAACTTCACTTTGGGGAGTGAGTTAGGCAGCTCAGCCTGATTTCAGGGCTCCTTGTCCTCCATTTATTAGCTTGTACATTTGCTGATCAGTCTTAGGTTTGTTTTATGTAGGCCCTCTGTTCTTGGTGTTCCCATTTTAAAGTTTGGAAAACTGGATATCGATAAAAGTATCATTGCCACCCAGCATGCCAGTGAAGAGTGTGAAGACTAGAATTGGGGATCTATTCCTTAATCCACTCACCTGCTTTGTCTGGTACATTGTGTGAGCTGTATGTTCAATAATGCTACTGGGTCCCAGAATATTCATTGTGTATTTTTTCAGACAGGGAAGCTGCAGCTTTATGACTTGGCTTCAGGAAATTTGCTGGAGACAGTTGAGGCACATGATGGAGCTTTATGGTCAATTTCACTCTCTCCAGATCAGGTAACTAAAGGAGGTACTTAATATTTGGCTCTTCTTCCGAACTTCACGGCTCCACTCTTAAGGTCATGCTTTGCCCAGCCATGCATATTTTTCTCAGAATTTATTCTTCATGAGGTTCTTTTTTGCAGACGTGGGCTGGTCCAGATCTTGAGACTCCTTATGTCACATCATTTCCAGATGAAATATCTTTTAGGAAATAAATTCTCTCTTATCTTCTTCCTTAAATAAGCTTTGTCTGTATGGATAGATAGATAGATAGATAGATCGATTGATCATTTCTTCCCCCTATTACCTCTGAGTTCCTGTCTCTAGAAGTATCTGAGACTTCAGAGCAAACACTCCCAGAAAATAATATGACTGGTTTTTTAAGCAGATGTACCAGAACCCAGATCAAGTAATCACTGTCATCTTTTCAAAATAATTAGGCTGTGTACACTTTGTCCAGTGATTCTTTGTCTGTTCAGAACATTTTGAGGGCTCCTATGGAATTGTCACTGCTGAGAGCACATAACTTTTGAATATTGTCGTTAATGGCCAATCTTTGGATTTTGAGGGGGTCAACTTGACTTTTTGGTAATCTCAAAAAATCATTCAGAGCCATATCTGGTGAATAAGATGGGTGATCAAGTTGGGTAATCCTTTTAGGGGCAAAAGTGAGGTGTGATAAAGAATAATTGGTTTTCTTTGTATTTCTAAATTGAAATGCATTTTTAAAAGTGTTTTGAGGAGTGGAAGCATTGTTGTTGTGCAGACTCTCAATGTATACTTTGATAGACAGTGTTCCGTTCAATGCATGATAATGTAAATTCTATTGTGTTGGTTTTAAGATCTTTCCCATTGCTTTATAGTTAATCTTTATGTAAATGATCTTTTCATTCTAAGACCAAAAATAACTTCTGATTGGGGTCAAGTTATATGTGGCAGTATGTAAGTCTCAGTTGTTATAACTTCCCTCAACCTGCTGCTGTTCTTTGGTTAAAGAGAAATGTGGAAGGGGTGAGGTGGGCAGAGGGGAGCACTGGAGCACTGGCAGCTGAAGAAGAACCTCTCTGTACCAGATTAAAGACCCTCCCTAAAGAGTCTCTTTTCCTCAAAGCAGAGTGGGCCAAGACCTTTCACCATAATTATCCATTCCTAAGGCTGCAGCAGGGAATTTCTCGAGTTGACACATGTAATTTATGTCCATGGGATAATCCTGGAGTTTTTTCTCCCAGTTGCGATTGCAGCCATTTTCATAGCTTCCAAACCAGGTCATTAAGATGGGAAAACACTCTTTAGAATCCCATGTTGGAGCCAGCCTTTGAGTTTCTTCCAGGCCCAGAGATGCTTAGACTTTCAGTATTAATTTTTAGCTCTTTGTCTTTCAGCATGGCTTTGTAACTGGTGGTGCTGACAAATCTGTCAAGTTCTGGGATTTTGAGTTGGTGAAAGATGAAAACTGTGCCCAAAAAAGGTGAGTGTGATAATTTTGAGTAATGGTCTGAGATCCATATGAGTAAGTATTGTTTTGTTTCGTTTTGTCTTGTTTTTGATAATCCTAGACTTTCAGAGGTGTAGCTTATCACAGAAGTCATTTAGACCTTGTTTTCTTCTTGTATGGTGCTAGGCTTTCTGTGAAGCAGGCCCGGATCTTGCAGCTTGATGAGGAAGTTCTCTGTGTGCGCTATTCCCCCAATCAGAAGCTGCTGGCTGTGTCTTTACTGGACTGTACAGTGAAAATCTTCTATGTTGACACTTTGAAGGTACAGCTGGATACTGTGATTTGAACTGGTGATCAAGTAACTGGTTTTTCCCCTTCTGTAGATGTTCCTCTGTCTGTTTGATAGATATACTTTCTAAAAAAGCTGATTTGTAAGTTACATATTTGTTAATTGAATAATTTTATATGGGGATAGGATAGAGATTTAAATTTGTTGAAATAATTATAAATTGAATAATTTAAGTGAATGACTTCCTAATTTTATCTTCTTTATGAACTTGGTTTGTTATATACCAGGCTTGCTAAAAGCAAAGTGTATTTGTATCCTTAGGTCAAAAGAATCTCATGTCCTTAAGATTTTAAGGAAGCCTTGCAGCTATGCTAGAGAACAAATCTCTGTCTTTTAAGTCAAATAAATAAGCATTTATTAATCAGTTATTGTGTACCAAGCACTGGTGATACAAAGAAAGGCAAAGAACAGTCCCTGTTATTAAGAAACTCAAAGTTTAATGGAGGAAACACCATGCGCATAATCATGTACAAAGAAGATATAGAAGACAAATTGGAGATATTTAACAGAGAGAAGGCCCTAGTATTGAGGAGGATCAGGAAAGCCTTCTTGTAGAAGGGAGGATTTTAATGGGGACTTAAAGGAAGCTAGAAGGCAGAGAGAAGGGGCGAAGAAAGTTCCAGGCAGGAGGCACAGCCATTGAGAATGTACTTTATAATTAATTACTCTACAATAACATCTCTTGTTTTCTGAGTCTTTGTATTTAGGGGCCTCAGGATTGGAGCTATGGCAGCTAATTCTTCAGTGTCACCTAGAGCTATGGCCCACCATAAGGTGGTCTGCGAGCAAGAGATCTAAGTGATTTCAAATTTTATTAGGCATCTCAATTATAAATATTGTAGAAGCTGTTGTGCAAAGCATTCTGCTAGGCATGCAGTGGATTTAAAACCATGATCATCTTAGGGTTGATATTTGGTCATTTGGACATCGAAAAAAAGTGAGCATTGCACTGAATGTTACAGTTAGACCGTAAGATGGTAAATTGCATCTGTATTTTGAAAATAAAGCTAAATTATTTTTCTTTTTGCATTAGTTTTTCCTGTCTTTATATGGACACAAACTACCTGTTCTGTGCATGGACATCTCTTATGTAAGTAAAGCTTTAAAAGGTTCCCAAAGCTATCTGTTGTGTTTATCAGAGGATGACTTCATTCTGAGATAATGGTTGGTTGTGGGGACTCCTTTATTTCTTCATTTAAGATATGACTTCAAGCCATCTCACCCCAGTCTGTGAACACCAGGGGCTCTCTGTTAAAGAGGGGGCTTTGGATCACATAACCCATAGGGTCGTTGTGGGGAGTGGGCTTTGTAAACCTCATAGTACTATGCGATTCCTTTCTTGAACTTTCATCACAGGATGGAGCACTGATAGCAACTGGTTCTGCAGACAGGAATGTGAAAATCTGGGGCTTAGACTTTGGGGACTGCCATCGGTCCCTCTTTGCCCATGATGACAGGTGAGTGGGTGGTCCTTTCACACAAAAGCAACCACAGAGCCACTTTGAGTCTCCCCCATGCTGTCCATATCCTATAGAAGTCCATGTGGCCTCATGCAAACAGTGACATGCTTTACAAAGAAACTTCCAACATGGCCGATAGAGGCTGTATCTGCTCCCCCTGGGAAAGCCACTCAGCTTTAGCCGGTCACACCTGGAAGGCTTTTTACTGTGAGGGTTCTTTCACTACCTTGGGGGCTTACACATGGCTGTTTCTCTCATTTTCAGTGTCATGTATCTGCAGTTTGTACCCAAGTCTCATCTCTTCTTCACTGCTGGGAAGGACCACAAGATTAAACAGTGGGATGCAGATAGGTTTGAACACATCCAGACCTTGGAGGTAATCTGCTGACCATTCTGTTCCAGCTGTATTTTAGAGTGGTTCTGAGCCTTGAACCCTCACATTATTTGGTGTGAATAGTGATGGACGACTGCCGTATTTCCTCACTCACCTCCTTCGCCTTCTCCAGGGCCACCACCAGGAGGTATGGTGTTTGGCTGTTAGTCCTAATGGGGATTACGTTGTATCTTCATCCCATGACAAATCCCTAAGACTGTGGGAGAGAACAAAGGAACCGCTCATCCTAGAGGAAGAGCAGGAGATGGTAAGGCTGTCAACTTCAGTTTCAGACATCTTAGCATTAATGGGGCATGGCAGAAGGAATCCAGCTGAAGGATTGTGGGTGGCCTCCTACAGGGGCCAGAGCTCGTGCTGAGTGACCAGTTCAGAGGCCATCTGTCCAGTGGCTGGGGAGCTCACCTCACTTTTGTAAAGAGCTTGGGGTGCTCTCTGAGGCATCTCATTGCCTTTTGTCGTGTGGTAATCCATGACACTTAAATAAATTAACTTGTTCATATTTTGTGTCTTGGCAGCAAAGAGAAGCAGAGTATGAGGAGAGTGTGGCCAAAGAAGACCAGCCAGTAGTAAGTAAAGCTCTCTGCCTATTAGAATCAAGGTTTATAACTTGTCTTATTTTAAAGCAACAATTCCCAAACTTGCTTTGGGATTTTTCCATCCATAAGGTGGTTGATTTGGGGGGAGGGGGGGCGTGTTGCTGGTTCCTTAGGTAATGTTATTTGTGCATCATTGTCTTCCACAAAGAATCCCGTGGCAGTAGTAAAAAAACAGTATCCTGCAGATGATTGACAGTTCAGTATGATTGTTTGTCTTGTAATTCAGGGAATGTCTTGACAAATCCCAGTGCTAGCACTTGACTGCCTGTGTGACCCTGGGCACATAACTTAACCTCCCAGTCCCTGGTTTCTCTAATCTACAAAATGGAAATAATATTTGTATTGCCTGTCACAGAGTTCTTGTGAAGAGCAAGTTTTGTAAACTGTAAAAGCTTCTGAATTGTTATCATTAGTATGAATGGTATAAACTTTAAATTTGAATAATTGTAATTTATTTTAGGAGGTTGTAGAGAATTGTTTTTACTTCTGATATGTGGGATAAATCTGAAAGAAACAAGAAATTGAATCTTCCTTTTAGATATTATTGAGGAAAAACTTTTTTAAATGTTAAAAGTGGTTTTAACATGTAATTGGGAAAAATAAAATATATATATTTTAAAAAGAGGCATTAGATATTACTGAGGAGGGGAATGTTCTTCTAGAAGGATTTAAGGAATCACATTTTTTTGCAGCTTTTGTGATAAGAACTTAAAGTATCTTTTTTCTTTATGCAGGTTCCTGGAGAGGCTCAAGGCGACACTTATTTTCCTGGAAAGAAAACTGTCGAAACTGTCAAAGCGGTAAGTTAGTGTAGAAATAGGGAGTATTTATTTTCTTGGCACAGTCCCAGCTTTCTTATGAATCTGCCTTACTGTTTATCAATCAAAAAGCTCTTTTGTGGCAGAGGAATGATGAAATGAGGATTGTAGCCAGCAGTAGAGAGTAGCCTGGGAAGAAAAGAAAAGGCTGGCTGTCTTGGATGAGTGTTCCTGCCAGCTGCCCTGCTTTAGATGTTGGATTGTGCAGCCTGAGTTAGCAACCCCACTGATCCTCTTATCACTGATCAAAACCAAAGGGTCCCCATATGTTCTGAGACCCTTGCATGTATGTTCATTTGATTACTTTGCACCCGGGTTGTAGGATTTTTCCAGTTGCATTTGGTTAAACTGAATCCAGCAAGGGTATTGATCTGACCCTTCAGATCAGGCCTTCTGATTTTAATGGAATGTGTTGTTTTGGCCTCTTCCCTGTATGTCCTGGGCAGGCTGAGAGAATCATGGAGGCTATCGTGCTGTACCGAGAAGAGACCGCAAAGATGAAAGAACATGAAGCCATTTGTAAAGCTGCAGGGAAAGAGGTGAGAGAAGGGAGAGGAAGTAATTGTAGCAGGGAATGCTTACATGTAAACATTAAGAATAAGGCCTGAGGAGACTGAGGGAGGGAGGGTTGTGTGAAAGTAAGTCTGGTTTCATGGATAAAGTAAGGATGAGAAATTTTGGTATGAGGTGAGTAAAGACCTCCTTTGATAAGCTCAAATGCAATAGGTCACATATGTTACACAAGTCGGACATTATTTGGGAGCTCCTAGACCTGCTCTTTTTTTTTTTCTTTTACTTCTTAACTAGAGCCCAGCAAGACTTATTTCCGTGCTGTTTTGGTGGCCAAGTCCTCATACTGCATGGACATTGATCTAACAAAGGGCTCTGGTGAATAATTCTATTTAACCTTGTTTTCTGGACAGGTTCCTCTTCCAGTTAACCCCATCTTATTGGCTTATGGAAACATCTCGGTGAGTATAGCTTAAGAGCTTCTACCATTCCCCTTTGGACATCCTTCCAGGGACAGGAAGGAAAAGGGCTTTGTGTTTGGGTGGGAAAACATGTTGATTTTAAGAATCTTATCGAGATTTGTGTCTGCTTCTAAAAATTAGTTGGACATTACATGTGGGCTTCTGAGTGCTCAGGGTCATTGTCTAGGATCTCCTGTATTATTATTTCATCTGGTTGCACTCTGAGAAGGATATCTTTGAGTCGTGCCAATTTCTTTCCTCCAGATGAGGTGGGAAGCTTTTGTAGTTTGTAGTTTTTGGCTAACTAGCCAAAGGAGGACTACTGATACTCTTTATGTTAATTTACAGCCTTCCGCATATGTACTGGAAGTGTTTAAAGGAGTCAAGTCGAGGTGGGTGCCAGGAAGTTTTGTTCATAGCAAGACTTCTTTAAATTTTTATTTATGTAAATCAGCAGTGTGTATTATACCTGTCCTAAGCAGAGCCCCATACATGAGCACTAGAGAGGGTCCTAAAAGAAAATAACTTAATGTGCCCAGTGGATGCTGTCTTCATCAGGACTTTTCTTAACACCCTAGAAAACCAATCATTGTGGTGGTATTTACTCTTTCTCTGGACATTAATAGTTACTCAGTTTATTACTACATGAGAAACATGTCAGCAAAGGCGCCAGCTACTGATTTGCAATTTAACATTAGTTATTGGTGACATAACACTAATAGTTTTCAAAGCATCATTCTGCATATTTCATTTGATGTTCTATAGCTGCCTTGTGAGAGGGCAGCAGGGCAAGTTTTATAGATGGAAACATGGAGATTCAGGTGCGAGGTTCAGTGACTAGGGCACAAAATGGTGACAAGTCTAAGACAAGAGTCCCAGTCTGGTGTTTGTGGGCATCTAGATTTTCATGGGAGTATATAAAAGTGTGTTAGTATGCACATCTAAATGAATGAACAAAACAGTAAGTGCTCACTAACTGAAAGTCATTGACAATCTTAGAATCACAGATCCCAGAGACGGTCTGGTCCTGCCCATAATTGATACCACCCTGCTGTGTGCTATCTTGGAAGGTTCTGGTTTTGTTCTTAGGTTAGCATAGCTCTTGGAAGCTTTGAGTGTTTTTATAGTAGACTGTAAACAAAGGAATTGGTTAGCCAAAGGTTATCAAGAGAGCTTATGCATGAGTGAGAGATTATTTGTCTGTATTTCTAGCATCACAGTTGATGTAATAGAGGACAGCTGTTTTTCTACTAAACAGTCCTTGGAGCCACAGTTAGAAACAGATTGCTGCCCTGTGGGGTTATTGCTGTGATCACTACAACCCTGTTTTATGCTCTTCTCTTTTCCTCTTTGCCATTGAAGTGAGTTGGAGGAAGCCCTCCTGGTGCTGCCTTTCTCGTATGTGCCAGACATTCTGAAGCTTTTTGATGAATTTTTCCAGCTGGGCTCTGATATTGAACTCCTGTGCCGGTGCCTCTTCTTCCTCCTCAGGTAATATTCCCTCCCCAAAGATCACTAGCTCTCCACATTGTAGGTTGTTCAGAGGTAGCGTCACACAGCCAGAGGAGGACCTGAGATTCTTAAGTCCTTCATTCACATTTCTAGTGACTCCAAAAATGCAGTACAAACTTGGGCATACATATTATTTTGCTGTGCTTGGAACTGACGTCTTTATTTTTAAAATAAGACTAGTCATCCATTCCTCTGAGTTTTTACAAGGAGTGTCAGGACATAAATTGTAGAAATGCTTAATCATGAGTATTCATATTGTGTTTTTATAGCCTAACTTGATCCTTTGGGATTTTCTGATTCATATGTCATGTTTACACTGTGTGAATGTCCTTTTTTTTCCCTTGCTGTGCTCTTCATTGGAAACCTTAGCATACTTTTCCTGTACTGGGAATACTCATGAAAATTACTGTATTTTACTCTACTTTAGTCTCATATTACTTGGACGTCTTCAGATGCATTGGTATCTCCTCAGCAGGTGCAAAATGGAACTAATTTTCTTCACCCTCTAAAACATCCATTCTCCAAACTTCCCTCTTGCTTTTGAGTTTGCTGCCATCTTTAATTACATGCTTGTTGGTTGATTGATTTTAATCACACAGAACCCGAGTCTTCGTTGACTCTTCTCTCTCCCTTCACCCCAAATCATTAGTTGCCAAATCTCATTGTACCTCAACAGCATTTCTCACTTCTGCGCCTACCTTTCTCACACTGCCATCACCCTAGATCAAGACTTCATCACTTCCAACCTGAACTATTGCTGTAGCTTCCTTATTGATTCCCCAAGATTTCTGTTTTCTCCGTTTTGTCCTCCACGAAATTGCCATAATCACACTTTTTTTTATTAATTTATTTTGATTTATCAATAATCACTTCCATATGCTTTTGAGTTTAAAATTCTTCTTCCCCTACCTCCCCCACCACCCTCCCCAAGATGGCGCACAATCTGCTATAGGCTATACATTTACATTCCTATTAAACATTTTCACATTAGTGATGTTGTAAGTAAAAGTTAAAACCAATAGGAGGAACCATCAGAAAGAGGAAACAAAACTCAACAGAAGAGAAAAAAAATAGCAATTCAACTTCCATAGTTCTTTCTTTGGATGTAAATAGCATTTTCCATAACGAGGACTCTGGAGATGTCTTAGATCCTTGTATTGCTGAGAAGGGTTAAGTTTATCAATATTAGTCATCGCACAACATGGCTGTTATTGTGTACAAAGTTCTCTTGGTTCTGCTCATTTCACTCAGCATCAGACCATACAAGTCTTTCCAGGTTTTTCTGAAGTCAGCCTGTTCATCATTTCTTATAGCACAATACTGTTCCATTACATTCATATATCATGACTTGCTCAGCCATTCCCCAATTGATGGGCATCCTCTCAATTTCCAATTCTTTGCCACCACAAAAAGAGCTGCTATGAATATTTTTGTACACGTGGGTCCTTTTCCCATTTGTATGATCTGTTTGGGATATAGCCCTAGAAGTGCTATTGCTGGGTCAAAGGGTATGCACATTTTTATAGCCCTTTGGGCATAGTTCCAAATTGTTCTTCACAACGGTTGGATCATTTCGCAACTCCACCAACAATGTATTAGTGTTCCAATTTTCCCACATCTCCAACATTTATCATTTTCCTGTTTTGTCATGTTGGCCAATCTGATAGGTGTGATGTGGTACCTCAGAGTTGTTTTGATTTGCATTTCTTTAATCAATAGTAATTTAGAGCATTTTTCCATATGACTATAGATGGCTTTAATTTCTTTATCTGAGAACTGCCTGTTTGTATCCTTTGACCATTTATCAATTGGGAAATGGCTTGTATTCTTATAAATTTGACTTAATTCTCTATATATTTTAGAAATGAGGCCCTCATCAGAGAGACTGGTTGTAAAAATTCTTTCCCAATTTTCTACCTTCCTTCTAATCTTAGTTGCATTGGCTTTGTGCAAAAACTTTTCAATTTAATGTAATCAGGAATGATCCATTTTGCTTTTCATAATGTTCTTTATCTGCTGTTTGGTCATGAATTCTTCTGTTCTCCCTAGATCCGATAGGTAAACTATTCCTTGCTCTCCCGGTTTGCTTATAGTATCAGCCTTTATATCTAAATCATGAACCCATTTTCACTTTATTTTGGTATATGGTGTGAGATTTTGGTGTATGCCTAGTTTCTGCTATACGCTTTTCCAGTTTTCCCAGCAGTTTTTTACAAAGAGTGGGTTCTTATCCCAGAAGCTGGAGTCTTTGGGTTTATCAAATAATAGATTACTGTAGTCATTGACTACTGTGTCTTGCATATTTAACCTATTCCACTGATCCATCTCCCTATTTCTTAGCCAGTACCAAGCAGTTTTGATGCATAATCACGCTTCTGATGCGCCGGTCTGACCATAGTATTCCCTTGCTAAATCAGAGGTGCTTTCTTGCTTCTTGCATAAATCACAAACTCTCTAGTTTAGCACTTAACATTTTTTATGTTGTAAGCACAGGTTACTTTTCCAGATTTATTTCACATTAATAATCTTCAGGCACTCAGTGTTCCAGTCAAGCTGTCTTAGTGTTTTTCAGACCCTTCATTCCTTCTCCGTCCTTCTTGCCTTTGCAGCAGCTGTCCTCAAAGCGTGGAATACTCTCCCTACTTACCTCTTAGAATTCTTAAGTGTCGCCTCTTTCAGGAAGCCTTTCCCTAATCCCTCGTTGCTTATCTGTATGTGTGTTATATACCTCTGGTAAAAAGGAATTCCCTTTGAGGGCAGAGGCTATTTTCATTTGTCTCTAGCACTAAACAGGGTACCTCACATAGTACATACTTAATGTGTTTTGAAATGAATTAGATTGAATAATCTTATTTGTAGTTGACAGGCTTCTTAAAGGAATAGCTTATTTCTTAAATGACAGATAAGGAGTTAAAAAGATAATGAAGATAAAAACAATGAAACTATGGGCTCCTCTTGGATTTTCTGTGCAGGGACACCAAAGTATATATAGAATAAATAAGTATAAGATAATTTGGAAGGGTGGGGACTAGCATTTGGGAGGATCAGCAGAGTCTTGGGCATAGAAGGTTTTGCTTCAGATGTGTCCTCAAGGAAGTGAGTGATGTATTCTCTAAAGCAGAGGTTAGAAGAAAATATAGTTTAAACATGGCAGGCCACTATAGAGGCATGGAGACAGGGAATGGAGTGCTGGGAGTGTTGGTGGAAGAAGGAAGGCCAATCAGACTGGATCGTAGAGTGTGGAAAAGAGTAATATGCAGTGAGATGAGAGAGGTTGGGGCCAGGTTGGGAAAGACTTTGAAAGCCAAACAGCTGCCAAAGGGATTTTCCTTATGTACAAATTTGACCATGTCATTCGACTACTCCAAATTCCAATGATTCCCTGTTGTTTTTGGGATCAAATACAGGTTTTTCCGATTGGCTGAAGGCCATGTTATGCTAAAATGGAATACACTGGTTTGCTGAGTTTTGGGTGGGGAGGTGGGGGGCTAGTAGACACATGTATTCAGGCAGTGTCTGGATGGCTACTTGTCAAGAGTGTGCTTTGTGTGGGGTTGAATTGAATTCAGCAAATCTTTGTTAAGTCCCTGCTATGTGTAGGCATAGCTCCATGGGATTAAGGGCCTATGCTGCCTTCTTTCTCAGAAGCAGTTTTTCTCATCTGTGCTTCAGTGGATTTTTAGGCATTTTTAAGATTTTTAAGTGATGAAGCACTTCCTGTTTTGGAAGGGGACGAGACAAGCCTGGCTTTCTAGAGCATCATTCTTTTTGCTTGTTATTTGTAGGATTCACTTTGGGCAAATCAGTAGTAACCAAATGCTTGTACCAGTGATAGAGAAATTGAAGAAAACAACCATTTCAAAAGTCAGTGAAGTCCGGGTAAGTGCCTTCACATTGTTACAATGAATAGTCAGGGCCCCAGGGCACCTGTGACTAGGGACTAGCATTGCTCACTGTTGGATGCAGGTTGCCCCTGTGGAAGTGTGAAGACCTACACAAGCCCATGGAGAGTACTTGGCAGGGGAGGGTAAGGAGGACTGGTTAGTCTTCCCTTCCAGCAAATTAGGCTTTTTTAACATTCTTTGTGTTTCTCCCCAGGATGTGATTGGATTCAACATGGCAGGCCTTGAGTTTTTAAGAAGGGAATGTGAGGCAAAGAGTGAAGTTGAATTTTTCTCTGATGCCACAAGCACTTTGGAAGAGAAGAAACGGAAGAGGAAGAAAAGGGAGAAGCTGATTATGACATTAACTTAGAGCTCAAACACCTGAGCTATTTTCACATTCCCGTTAATCTGCCTCTCAGAATAGAAGAAACAATTTCCTGACCTGAATGTTCAGATACTGACATCATGGGAAAAAACACGGGGCTCTGGTCCACACTATGCTACTGACTAGTTGTGGGACCTTGAGCCGCTCTGCTTCCATTTTCTCATCTGTAAAAGGAGGGGGGTTGGACTAGATGGTCCCATATGGTGCCTTCCAGCTTTAAAACACTTGAGTCGTGAACTTTCAAGTACCAGATGACAGAGGAATCATTGAACTGCTAAAGTACTTTGGAAGGATCCATGTCACAACAGGGAAAGTTAACTAAGGAACCTTGTGCAGGGCCTCATACTTTCCTTGTTGGCCAAGGCTAGACACATTCTTGAATGATTGACTTTCTTTTTCTCATTGTTCTTATTAATTAGCAGAGGGGTTCTTGAACCCTTAAACTCAAGGGTTAAGGTTACCAATTTAGGAATTTTATTTATTTACTCTATTACTGGACATGTGTGAATATTCTGAGTTGCTTTTTTTTTGGTCTTTTCCCCACTAGGAAGCTTTCCTAAGGTGTATAATTAAGTATCTGTTTTTCCTAATGCATTATCATTCTAAAAAGCTTATGTAAAGCAGGAATTCCTTGTACCTTTTACTCTAGACATTTTTTTTGGTGTTTGTATGTAAAAAGATCTTTTTATGTAATTTGTATTTCTTTCAATTAAATAATTATTTTTAAGTAAAATAAGGTCATGATTAGATGACTAGTCTGGACTCTTGGATTTTTAGTATAGAAATCTAGGAAATTGTTACTTATACAGAGCAAGTAATTCACTTCTGTTCACTGAATATACTTTCACTCCCTTCCCAAGCTCTGAACAAGTTTACTGAGCCATTCAAATTCCTTACAACAAATCTGCCAATAGATCCCCCACGTAGGAGAGGGTAGCTAGAATGAGGCAACATATGCATGCACATGTAGAAAAAGTTCTGGCCATATTTAAGGAGCTACAAAAAAGAAGTGTAGAAAGTAACAAATAGCTTGTTGCTACAGTGACCTTTCCTTGGTTTTTCTTTATGAAACCCAGAGGGAGCTCTTGAATCTTATGAGTGGAGAGCAGTGCAACATAGAAGAAACCTACTGTTAGTACAATTAGGGGAGGTACTCAAGACTGAGAGTTAGATGTTCAAAATGTAAAGCCTTCAGTGCCTTAAAAATACCTCTGTCTTCCTGAAACTGTCTGACATCCTCCCAGCTATAAAAATCTGCCCTGCTTTAGTCTTAGCTGTCAGTTGTGGAATGGGGTGCTTTTTTTCATGAACATTTCTAGTGGTTTTAATAGGATACCAAGACGAACTCCAGAAAACAAGTTACCCTGGGCTCTAAGGCTACTTCTTGCTACTTTTGTTTGTCCTTTGAACCATCTTATTCCTAGTTATCAGCTACCCGGAAAGATGAGGGTGTATGTGTGGACAGCAAATGACAATAATGGACTGACCAAGAATGAGATGAGTTGGAGCTTTTTGGTCAAAATACTTGGATGTCTTTAAGCCTGACACCCTCTAATATAGATCAAGAAATGCACAATGCTTAGTACAAAGGCATTTTATTAAGTATATTTTTCTAGCAGACAGTAGAATAGTTTTAGCTTAAAATGCTGCATGGAAAAACAACACAGGTAGTTTGTAAGGCATTTGAGCTTGAAGCTTGAAAGAGAAATGTAAGTAGGCCTACTGTATCGATAGTGACAGTTCTGAGATGCCCAAGGTGGATGAAGGTCGGTTTTCTTTGTTCTCTGCAGCAAGTAGTCTGATAATCACATCTGTAATTAAATTCATTGAAATTCACATTAGTTTCTCTTCATCATGCTTGTGCCAACAGCACTGTTTTTTTTAATCCTAAGAGAATGACAGACAATTTCATGTATAGACTAAAATCCCCTGAAACAAAGTTATGAAACAATATAAAACCATGACAATATGAAATCTGACATAAATGGGTAAAGTCCAGTGTGTCAAATTGCCAGGCTTTTTGTCATGAAATCTCTCCACCACTGCTGACATTGAGACAGTGGTGGAAATACTGGGGAAGTATTTTTACGTGATTTTGAAGGCAATGACATTTGATTTTAAAGACTTTATTGATTAAGATGTTTCAGTCTGCAAGAACAAAAAAGACCTATGCCCAGCTTCCCGTTAACAAATTAGCAAGTGAAACGAAGTACTTTCAACCTGTTTAGGGCAGGTGGAAGGGCACCTGTCATGTGCTCAGCACAATTCCCACCCCTTTATTCTTTGGTTCCCTAACTGGCTACAATGCGTACAATTAGGTATTTCTAGAAATGTTTTGTACACGTGTTAACTTTTTTGTATTCAAATGAATGAAACTGCTACTCACTGACATGCACTATAATTTCAGCTTAGCAGACTTTGCTGTTAAAATATTGAAAAGTTCCTTTATAACAGGAGACTTGAAAGTAACTCCAGTTTGTTTCAAAAGAAATTCCAAATTTTCTTCTCAAACTCTCTGGGATAGACCTATGTTCATTTTTCAGTCGTGAGGGAGCCACAAAAATTTACAGAAAGCTTAGAGCATTTGATACAACCTTTCTTGTATCCCTATGAGACAAATAGAGGCATATTCTTTTCCTTTTATAAATGGGAATATAAATATAGGAATATTTATAAATGGAAATATGGACACTTAATTGGCATGTCCATAGATCTTTAATTAAGTATTATTTGCATCACAGAAGAGTATGGCAAGTAATGTCATTTATGACAACTCTACTAAATGGATCCTTGAAACATGGTCCATGGTCTTACTGGTTAGTACATGAAAACTGCTCCTTAACTCGGGAAATGGTGCTGAACAAATCTAAATTATTGGGATGAATTAGGAGCTTAGAATGAGTGTTTTTGATACACTCTATGTTAGATACTCACTTATGTTAGAAGCATGGTTTTTATATTGTGTTTGTATATGCTTCCTTGGATCTGAGATCTCTGAACATCTTAGGGTTGTAATAGTGACATTCCATAGCTATGAGTGAACAGGGCCTAATAATAAACTACTACATGCTAGTAATAGTCATTGCTGCTTTTTTGAACATTGAAACATTTCATTTCCCTCAAAAGTATGCAACAAGATTACAAAGGTCACAAAGATGGCAACAAACTTGAGTCTATCATTGTCAAAGTTAATATTCATACTGTATCTTCAGTACCTGATAACATAGTGGGCACTTAATACTAATTGATCGATAAGTCCAAGACTAGAACTTGGAATAATTGATTATACACGTTGATTATTGAGCCCACAGGCACATTTCCTGGATATTACTCACATGACATAGTTTTTGAGACTTGGGGACTGCAGAAATACGACGAATTGATGGATTTTCTTTCCCCACAGGAAAATCATCTGGTCTTGAGTCATAGGTCATAGATGTTAAAACTAGTAAAAGAGTTGTTAAGGGTGCATCATTTTTGTGGCACAACTTACACATACATTTAGACCCAGGTCCTCTGATTCTAAATCTGGAAATCTTTACATTGTGCCACACTACATGGGAAATATCTATGGTTGGCAGTGAAGTGGGTACTAACGGGAGAGAAAAGTTTAACTTGTTAACAAGTCATCTCTTGTGTACGCCCCTTTCTTACCTCTGACCACCGTGGTGAAGTCCTTTATCATTTCACACGGACTCTTGCAATAGCCTTCTGGTTGGTTTCCCTGCCCCACTCTACTCCACCCTCCACTCATCTGTGAAAGTGAACTTTCTAAAGTACAGATCTCACATCACCCTACCTATTCAATAAATTCCAGGGGTACATTGTTACCTCCAGGATTAACTACAAAATCAGTTTGGCTTTTAAAGCCCTCATAAGCTGGCTTCTTCCTGCCTTTCAGATCTTCTTATACCTTATTCCTCTCCATGAACCCTGTGGTCCAGTAACATTGGCTGATCTCCTTGCCATTCCTTGCACATGACACTCCATCTCCCAGTTCTGAATATTTTCACTGGTTGTCTCCCATGTCTATAATTGCCTCCTCATTTCTGCCTTCTGGCTTGCCTGGCTTCCTTCAACTCTCATTGAAAATACCAGTCTTTCCCAATCTCCCTTAATGCTAATGCCTTTCCTCTAAGATTTCCTTTGGGGCCAAGAAAAACCAATCCCTTTTCACCATGACAGACTTTGAAACAATTGGGAGAAAAAAGCCATCTCCTTGAAGCCTCTCTTCTCCAGGATAAATGTCCTCAATTCCTTCAAATAATTTTCATGGCATTGTCTCCATTGCCTTCCTCTAATCATACTCTATGTTTTTAACGTCCTTCCTGAAGTATGGTAGCCAGAACTGAAAATAAAACTCTTGATATGGTCAATTGAGGGCAGAGCACAGCAGAACTGTCACCCTTCTTGTTCTAGATAAAATGTTTCTCAATGCAGGGAATAAATCAAGTTAGCTTTCTGTCTGCCACGAGCCACTCTTACTCATTTAAGCTTTCAGTCCATTAAAAGCACTAAATATTTTTATACTTTGTTTTTCTCTTCCAACCTTAGTCCTGAATTTTTAAAAAAATCCCAAACATCTATCTTTTACATTTATCCCTATTATATTTTGCTTCATTAAGGCTGGCCCAGCATTCTGGTCTATTGAGATTTTTTTGGAATCTTGATTGTCATATACAGCTTTGCATCTTCTTTGAATGTGATAAACATACTATCAATCCCTTCATCTAAGTAATTTATAGAAATGTAAAAAGTCATAAGACAACTCCTTGTATTTTTCCATTCTTTATCAGTACCCTTGCAATGCTCAAGGCTACCCCGAGATAAACATGAAATAACCAAATAATGGTGTATCTTAAGCAATAAACCAAGCACAAAAGCTTACTGATTGATTGGAACTAGCCACAGTGACATAATATATGCAAATGTGTATATGACATTATATATGTATAGGTACATATGTGCATGAATACATTACACCATTTTCTGGGATCTCACGCCTTCCTCTCTAGGTCTATATCCGTCCAGAAAAGCAAAAGGACTTGTATCTTTTTGGTCCACTCAGATAAGAATGAGAGTCTGGGGAAAATGGTATTGTAACTCACCCTCCTGATAATGAAGTATTGTTCATTATCTCACATTTGCTCAAGTGTAGCCTTATCTCAAGTATTACTGGGTTAGCAATAAAGAATGGAAAAATAGAAGGACTCTGGTCTTATGGTTTTAAATGCATATATGCATGTATATATGCACACATGTATTTACATGAATACATATACACATGTGTGTATAAGTAAATAAAATATACATATATGCATATTAATTGTGTACACTGTATATACTAATATATGCTATGTATTCACATATAAAACATAATGCATGTATACATACATATACAAATGTGCATTGTATAGATGCACACATGTATATGCATGTACACACATATGTATGTATGTATATACACACTTTGGGGATTGATTCCTTTTCCTCTCTGTACTATGCTGGTTCTAGATATAGGGATATATCTGACCTGGTCTACATTACAATATCTTAGAATAGAAAGAGATTTAGAGGTCATATAGTCTATTCCTCCCCACTCAAATCCAACCTACTACATCCCAACCAAAGGTTATTCAGACTCTTTCTGAAGACTCTGTCCACTAGGCAAACCATCCTGTTGTTGGATTGGCCTAGTAGTTAGCAAGTTGTTTTTTTTGTGTGTGTTAACTCATGACCAGAACACA